TGTAATGTTATAGATATTTTGAAGATTTTAAATATTAAAAAAGTTTTGGATTCAGAACCAATTTATAAGTGTTAGGTTACATATTAATAAAAGAGTTGCAGAATTGGCCATTTTCTTATATAAAAATAGTATATATATTATATGAAAAGAGTATATATTTGTAAAAAATTTATCAATTAGAATCATTTTTAGACATAACTTTGGAATGTCTACCAAAAACCAATCTTTCGACATTCTCATTAAAATCAACTTTTTTTAGAAATTTCAAAAAAATATTCCAAAATAAGTAAAAAAATAAATTATTTAACATTTTAAATTAAATTAAATTAAAATTTTCAACAATATCCAAAATAAAATAAATCAAATTTGTTTATTGATTTTTAAGTTAAAATAAAAATCTGAATTTCCAAATATTTTTTTTAAATTCGAAATAAAAATCAAATTCAAATACTTAAATATTTTCAAATCACTCAAATTATTGAATTGACACATGAAAAGTAATGAAAGTTATTAAAAAAAAATTTACCCATTTTCTTGAAGATTTGCATAACTTTTAAAAACCAAAAAATAATAACTTTTTTATTCAATGTGCATATTTAAAATAATAAAGGTAAGGGAATTTTTGTAACTGCTTCCAGAAATCTTCTGACTGTTTGTGCAAGCTCAACTTTTGTACTCCCCTTAAAATTTTATCAGAGGGGAGCAATTTAAGATATTCAACGGTATACAATCATATTGTTTAATAAAAAAAAATCATTTAATTCAAATATAAAACAATAAAAAATTCCAAATATTTTTCGTGCCTTGAGGCATATTACTGGAACTTCCGGTACCGTAACGAAATATTTGAAAAATATATTAAATGTATCCAAATAAATTATTATAAATAATGTCGCATTGTCTAATATTAATAAGATTATATAAACTGAATTGCAAAGTTAAAATTATTTATATTAAGTTTATCAGTGAGCTTTAAAACTTTAGCCAGAATTAAAATTAAAATCCGAATTGTTTTTGATATTAAAAAAAAATGGGAAGAAATATAATTTTGAAAAAAAGTATTTGCTTCAAAAGCAATCCGTTCGTCAACACAAACAGAAAGTTTTTTGAATCATTCAAATTGAATGCTTAGTTCTCTCAAAAACTCCTGTTTTTTGCAGATTTAGCTTCGTATCTTCGAAATGGCTGGATCTGCTTTTGACAAAAGCAAATCACCCCTCTCTCCATCACTACAAATTGAATGTTTTTTTAATTATTCCAAACGGAAGCCCCGTTCTCAAATTTTCGAAAAATAGCGAAAAATCATATTTCGGCAATGATGAATTAGCTGGAAGTTTCACTGAGCATAGTCAGATAGTTATGTGTTTGGTATGCTTTATTTACTGTGATATAATTGGTTTGGTGTTCACAATATAATTGCTGTCAAAGAAAAACTTAAATTGAACCTTTGTGTCCCGCCTTATCTCATATAAAGCAATATGCCCAATATGTCCTCAACGCTATTTTCACTTTAAATCATATTTCGTTCTACAGAAAAAATATATAAAATGCATTTCTCAAACCGTTAAAAAACTATATTTTTATCTATATCAAAACATAGATCGCTACTGCTTAATATAATCCGTCCAGGAAAGGGCATGGCAATGGAAGATGTTGCAAAACCAAAGTTTCTACCAAGTAGCCACAGACAAGATTTTATCTTGTAAGATAAATTGTGGATAAACTAGTGGAAAAGTATATAAGTGAGCTTTAGAACTTTAGCCAGAATCAAAATTAAAATCTGAATTACTTTCAATATACAAAAATATAAAAACAAAATGAAAAAAAAAATTGAAAAAAAATTATCTTTCAAAAGCAATTATTTTGTCAAAACAAGCAGAAAGTTTCTTGAATCTTTCAAATCGAATGCTCTTAATGAATCAAAATTTTTCAATAACTGCCATTTTTGCACATTTGGCTCGGTATCTGCACAGCGGATGGACTTGCCTTTGCCAAAAACTATTCACCATTACGAAACTACCCGTCATTACGAATGGAATGTTTTTTGATAATTCAAATCGGATGCTCCGTTCTATCAAAAGCTCGAGATCTACTTTGCACATCTGCACTTCTTGATCCGCATCTCCGTAACGGCTGGACCAGCCTTTGCGAAAAACTAATCAGCACATCTCCCTACCAATAGGAATTGAATGTTTTTTGAACAATTCAAATCGGTTGATCCGTGCGCCCGAAAACGTGGACAAAAAATGCGGACATACAAAACACACACATACATGCACACGCATCCAATTTTTCTGACAGAAAGTTTCTTGAATCTTTCAATCGAATGCTCTTAATGAATCAAAATTTTTTCAATAACTGCCATTTTTGCACATTTGGCTCGGTATCTGCACAGCGGATGGACTTGCCTTTGCCAAAAACTATTCACCATTACGAACTACCCGTCATTACGAATGGAATGTTTTTTGGATAATTCAAATCGGATGCTCCGTTCTATCAAAGCTCGAGATCTACTTTGCACATCTGCACTTCTTGATCCGCATCTCCGTAACGGCTGGACCAGCCTTTGCGAAAAACTAATCAGCACATCTCCCTACCATAGGAATTGAATGTTTTTTGAACATTCAAATCGGTTGATCCGTGCGCCCGAAAACGTGGACAAAAAATGCGGACATACAAACACACACATACATGCACACGCATCCATTTTTCTGAGGTATGCGAAAATGTTCAAAAACCTCTGGAGCGTAAAGATATACAAATATTTTTATTTTGATTTTCGGCCCATACTGTAACTTACCCTACAGGAAGTTAAAAACGCGAAATTTAAACACGAAGAACTTTAATCTATACAATCTGTTTCATACTATGAAAAGATTCTCTGCTAAATCAATAATACAAACTTATGACTTATTTTTAATAATTAATACATTTATAAAAAAATCCTTTTTCACCTATAATTTACAACTACGTAAAAATTTGCATCCATATATGCACGCATACATATGTTTACAAATATTTGTCTGTTTATATTTATGTTTCTGCATGTGCATTATTCTTAATCGCTCAAATATCAGTCATTGTCTTTTGCGTTTGAAGCACAATGGATATTTAATTTAAAATTTTCTAATTAAAAAAATCAATAACATTTTTCAATTTAAAAATTTGAAATAATCAATTATCGATGATCCTGCCATTATTCTCTATCATAACAATATGTCCGATTTCGAATCAATGGTTTATATAGTTAACAACAATACGACAAGCATTATATTTGTTTGTTTGTCAGAGTAGATAATGGCATTAATTAAAATTTGTTTATAATTAAACAACACGTATTTTACCAAATAACTATATTAATATGCTGACAAATATTTAACTGATTATATACGCAATCTTAAATATATATATAACTTTTTTTTAATGTTTTTATAGGCTTTACTGTGGGTCACTGGTTGGATACCAGCTTCGGACAGCCTGATATCGTGCTGTAGTGATATCGCTTTTCTCTTGGAAATCTAGATTGTAATATGTTAAGTGAAAATAACCCTTTTATTGTAGGGTTGCCTTCTAATAGCGTTCAGTATTAAAATAAATATCTATACAGCATATAGTAAGGGCAGTCAATGGGTTGTTAATATGAATAATAATTATTATTTATAAAAAAGCAAATCAAGGTAAATTAAGCAATTTTGCCAGAGATAAATTAAATATATAGTTATTCTCTGCTTATCAATATTTCTGATGCAATACCAGATCAGGGTCATACACAGTGTTCTATGTAAAAAAATGAACCCAGAAATATTTTGCATTAGTTGAATAATGTAGCTATTATTTTGTAAAATCCTTTGATATTAAAAATATGATATTAGACCAGTTTGTTTAAATCAGATTAATTTCACTTATAATTACAACAATTCAATTTGTAAAGTCGTTAACTATTAAAAAAGTTTGAATAATGTTTTAGATTTGGAAATGTTAATAAAATTCATATAATTTTCAAAATCGTGAATTAATTTTTAACTTCCCGTGGGATAAGTTATAGTAATCGCAAAAAAATCGAAAATGAATTTTTTTATATATCTTTACGTTTCAAACGTTTCTGAATATTTTGGCATACCTTAGGAAAAATGTATGTATGTGTGTGTATATATGTGTGTATGTGTGAATTTGTGTGTTTGTGTGCGGATACAAATTTTTGTCGACAATTTCGGGAACACCGATCAACCGATTTTAATAATTCAAAAAACATTTTAATTGTATTGACAACATGAAAAACTGATTAAATTTTTGAGAAGGTAGGTCCACCGGTTATAGATTCTAAATAAAAATAAGTTGAAAAAATGTCATTTGGCGGTCAAAAATGTTTACTGAACATATGTACATCAAATTATCAGATATTTTATAGAAATTTTAATAATGTGTATACATTTTGTGAATTTTTTTTTTTGGGTTCTGTACCAAGTACGGAATTTGCGTTAATGCACGATGCCCTGCACCCCACTAGTTGTATTTGAACGTCGTAAGAAATGGATCCAGCAACCACCGCTTCTGGGTTTGATACCAAACTCGGTTACCTTGATACCAAGCAGTAGTTAAATAAGATTTTACGTAAAATTATATATTAAATATAATATCAAGTGTTGGTTGTCTTTCGGACCATTGCTAAAAAAATAGTTAAGTCAATGGTACTAATTAAGTTAAAGTCACAACTAGAATGAACAACTACCGGGTTGCCTTTTATCGCCATCTGTTAAATTAACAAAACATTATTAAGTACCTTATTAACAGATTGTAATAGAAAGAAAAACATTGCAGCCATTAGGATATATTAAATTGTTTGTCATTAAAAATTTTGACAATCAAACTTTACAACATTTATTAATCCTCTTTTTCTCTTCTATAAGACTTCGATTTAAAAATACATCATCTAAAGAAAAAGCATGTTAATTTCAGAGCTAAAACTATAAAAAAGTATCACACAAACTAGAATCTGAATATTAGAAATCCTGCTGCATGTCAACATCAGCAACAGGGTTGATAGACAGGCATGCCTGCAGCAGTGAACGCAGGAAGTGTGCTCCTTTATGCCTTAAGACGTATTCTATACTATTCACGGCTTTTTCCAATGGAGGCTGAGGCTCATCTCGGAATATTTTTGAGAGATATTGTGACCGCGATCGATAGCTAAAAAAAGTAAATTTTATTATATTGTAGTCAATGGTAGAAGTTGTAGATCATAGGGTCTTCAAAAAATTATTTCTAAGAATTAATTAGAATTTTTCGAGATCTTTGTTCACACCAGAAAAATGTGATTTGCTAATGTTTGCTTTCTTAACATATTAATCAAGCTAAATTTTTTGGCACAAAATTTGTATAATGTAAGAAGCGTGCATTTTTATTTACAGACGTAAATTTTGTCTTTTGCAAACGATTGTCAAAAACGACACCGGCACCTTTAAACAGTTTTTTTTTTACATAATTTTTACTGACTCGAGTTAGATCATTTTTACGTGCTGATCGATCTAAAAAACAGCGACATCTTAAAAATTTAAACATTTATCCCTTTTTTATTTACTCGATTATTTTTACATATCGTAATATTGTGTCATAATTTTTAATTTCATTTCTTTATCTCTAACAGTTCGAAATATATTAGTTGGGAATAGCGTAGATTATTTTTGATGAAGTTCGAACTGATAATCAAAGAATGTTTATTACTACTATACTGCTATAATTATTGAAATTATAAATACGTTAAGTTTCCATTGTCGTTAATATTTTTCTGAAAATCCTAATCCGATTTTAAGCATAATGTATTCAAAAGATATTTTTGAAAATATTTTCACATTTACATTTTTAGTAAAGGCCGCTTTTATATTTTTTTAAATTAACAGCTAACAATTGGATGATTCTTGCTAATCAACTTAAAGTAAAGATGTGTTGAAATGAAAATTTATCTTATACCTAGTTAATTTTTGTTTGTAACATAGGGAATTACAATATAATATATTTTGTACGTATGGAAAATTTCTAATAATTCATTTTATTTCAAATCATATAAAAGGATGTTAGAAATCTCAACATTAGTTTTTAGAAATGAGTTCTAAACAAAATATTTTTGAACCACAATATAAATACGATAGATGATAATAATTAATTTCATACCTGGGATTTTTCAAAACCTTATTTAAAAGTTCTGATAATGTTTCTTCATTGATATCATCTAAATCTATTTGAACGCGCGTAGCCAGATCTTGTTGCCCTCGCCATGTTCGCTCGTTGATCACCAAAAATTGGAATTCCAACCAAAGGAACTCCAAATAAATCGATTCATCGAACTTAGTAATCCTCCATGTGTTATAAAAACTTTCACATTTTTATGATCTATAAAGTATTATATTAATATAAAACTGTGTATATAAAATTTAAATGTATAATAATATGTAATGAAGTTACTGAGGATAGCTTGTTGTGGCATCCAACTTCGAATTACAACATTTTTTGGTTGATTTGGTAATTTGTCATCCTCCCACTTCCACAACACTGTTTCTTTTAGTTTTGAAATGTATTAAAATTGCATCTCTTTCTCCTGTGGCAATTCTGAACTTTTCAAATTACTTCCCATACTAAAGTAGATGACGCCTTGTTTAGAATTATCCATTATCCAAACTTTTTGCAAATCCTTTACATAAGATTTATTTAAAAACCAATAGTGATAAAATTAATAACTTAATAGTGTTCTCTTACATCTGGAAGAGTATCTGGTTTGACATGTAATCCTCCAACATTGACCATATTTGGCACTATCGCTTGCGAACCAGAAACAGCAATGTTTGAATTCAGGAGAACTAATGAAACATTAGTAACTAATGTTGAGAGATGAGGAAATTCTTTTGAATTTTGTTTGAATATCGGACGGAAATAAGAATCATAAACTTCATGTTGCGCACGCAAGTGTAACCTGTTAAAATTATTGTTTCTATAAATTAGTTAGTTGTTTTAACTTTAAGTTCACTTACCAATGGAAAAATTCGCCAACCACAGAGAATACGGTGTTTCCAAATCGTTGCCAGTAACTCATTGGATTACTGAACGAAGAAAAGACACTAATATCATAAGCAGGATTGGATGGATTTCCCACCATTTTATTTGACCATATCATTGCTGGTGCTGTACCCATCATAATTGGTATAGCATCATAATGCTGGGCTAATCCCAAAAGACATTCATTCAAAAACACTTCCACTATCACTGCGTCAAATGTTGCATTCGAATTCAGTAAATCAACCATTTTTGGATGATACAGCGTACCTTTGGCCATTTCCATACCAAATCCAGAAATTGTTTTCATAGAATCAATAAATGATTTCTTCTTGATTTCGAATAAGTTTCCCATTTTCTTCTTAACTGAAAGAGATCATTTTATTATTATATTATTTAAATGATTATTTATTTAGGATAATATTTTTTCAGTATATATGTGTATTGTTGTGTTCTAACCCTTAGTAAATCATACTATGGATATTTTGGATTTAAAACTTTCTTTTTTTCTAGACTTCTAAAACTAAACCAATAACAAAGCATTTTTTCTATACCAACAATGAAACAATCTTCTCTTCAGATATTTACTATAAACACGTTTGAAAATTTGGATCATGTATTAGGAATATCCCAAACGTGCATATTTTATTTGACTAAGTTTTACATTAATAGTTTGCACAATCGGACAATCTCTAAATTTTCTTTTTCACATTTTTCAAAAAAATCGAAACTTCATACATTATTACTAAGTTTTATAATAAAGTCCTATTATAAAAAAAATTAATAATAACTGATGATGTTTGTAATCGAGGTTAGCCATATTTTTGTAAATGAATTAACATTTCATAATAATAAAAACTAGATTTCTTTTTCAAAAAATTTAATACTTATGTTACCTATATCAGGACTAAAATCACCATCCAATAATATTTCTTTATAATTAGCATGTTTGAAGCTGCTTTTGAATGGACTGACCATTAATACCTAAAAAATAAAGTTTTTTTTATTAATAACATAGTAGTTTATTATTAATAATAATAATGTATATATATAATTTTACCTCGTGGCCCTTTTCAGCAAGACCTATAGCTAAAGCATCTCCTAAAATATGATGTGATTTTGACACTGCATTAAATACAATAAGAATTTTGGCACTATTTACAACTCCACTCAGAGCCAGGAATACAAAAATTAATTTAAATATGTTTTGCATCTGGAAAAACAATAAAAAATAGATCTATATTTCCACAATATGTTACTACAATTAATACATATTTAGAGTACTCTAGTTCTACTATTGGCACCTATTTTTCCTTGTTTCATCTTTATATATTCAAAGCAATTTTACTATTATAGTAATTCAAGGGCAAAAGTTCTGACAAGCAAATTAGTATGTACCTTTTCAATATTATTAAGATTACCCGTATTGATTAGAAGTTTATATAAATCCAATTCTATAATCTTTGTGACCCTATGTAAATAATGAGAGATCCTTTCATTACGGAGCTCTTAAAAAAAAATCTAATAGTAATTTGTTATTGCATACTAACTTGTACAAAACAAAAAATATATCAATTAGATACTATTCCCAATATTTTAGTTATGTACTTAAAATTAGGGCCAACGGATTAGAGTAACAATTGTCATATTGGTAAGTAAACGATTTTGCAGTATAAAGCTTGCATATTAATATATAAATGTTTATAAACAGTATGTAGGTCATTTGATTAAAAACGTATAAAATAATCTTGATTTGGATTAGTTAAAGATGTCTTCATTAGATGACCTAATGGTAAGTGAATTGGCATATATGCTTTGAGAATATTTAGCGTTTCATCTAAATTTAATATTAGAAATGTAGTGCATTTATCTAAAAGTACATGAAAATGAAAGAGAAAAATTATAATGAATTCTCAAATATAATTTTCATCTGTTTAATAGCTTCTACCACTAAATTTATAGCTATGGAAGAAAATTTAAAACACTAAGGTACGACAGTACTTAAAAATAAACATTCAAATTAAAAATCATATTACAATAACTTGGGTTGAAAAATTGTCTAGACGTATCGATTATAATCAAAATAAAATTTGCACCGAATGATACATATCACTTTGTAATAATAACATTTGTACCTTTTATCATTTGTTTATACTTTTTGTAGCTTCAACCGCGTGCTCAAGCAAAACAATATATGCATAATAATTTATTATTTCGGCAGTTTATTATTTCACTATATATGCATATATATATCCACTTGCAGGATGTTTAAACATATGCACAAAACAAATTTTAGTCATTTGCTGATAAAGAAATACAAGTTTATACTTACGTTGAATATCACCTAACAATTCAAGTCTATAAACACCATTGAAAATTATAGTATCAATTTCACTAATATGGATAAATTAATAAAGAACATGATGCAATGTATACGATGGTATGAAAATTATATTCATGTCGTCTGTATTATGATAAACGTTTTTGAAGAGTCATTCGATAAGTAAGTATCATATGCGACAAACAATTTTTTAATTGAGAAGACTTGGCGAGAGAAGGACGTACTGAAATACTTGTAGTTCAATGATAAAATTGTTATCAACGTTACATATACATGTTTTTGTATATATATATATATATATATATATATATATATATATGATGTTGAAATGTGTACCAAATTCCTCAGGGCCCCACATCAAACAAGAGATATTGTATACTATCTCTAACTTTATTTAAATCCAACATTTTTAGATGTGATCTTTTATCATATTCGTGAGTGACAATATATACCTAAGTAAGTGTCACAATTAACTCGCGTTTACTCAATTTGCCAATTTTTATAATCGATTATTATATGAATATAATAATACAAAATCTTATGTTTTAAATAAAAAGGGTCTTCCGCCATTCGCAGATCGCAGCGCACTATTTTGAAGATCTGAACTATAAAATACTTCCGTTATTTATTTGATATACTGTCCTGAAAAACTTGGCATATAATATATATATATATATATATATATATATATACAGTGCTGGATTTACAGTAGGGGCAGTCGGGGCTACTGCCCAGGGCGCCAAATTTTCTGGGGCGGCAAAATTTGGATAGTGAGAAGAAAATTCTATACCATATAATTAACTCATTTTTTTAATAACATTTTTATTTTAAGAAATATATTTAACAAAACATTATACAAATGAAATGAAAAATTTGGCAATTTGGCTAATATAAAGATTCGTAAGCGAGTTGAAAGTTTAAGAAAAATATGTTTTTAAGATGACGAATTTGTGCACTTCCAAGCGTATGGCATTGTGCCTTACGGCAAGTTACTGAAACTTTCCGCACTGAAAATTACATTTTATAAAAAACTTTAAAATTATTTGAAAAATGATAAAAATTGAAATTAAAAAAACCTTTTTTTATATTTCGAAATTTTTTGAAAATTATTAAATTTCATTTATTAAACTTATTAAAATGAAATTTTATTTGAATAATTCGATTACTATTGATAGCGAGACGTGCTGATTAGTTATTGGCCAAGACGGGTCCAACTGTTTCGGAAATACCAAATTGCCAAAACTAATAATTCATTTTTTGAGAAACGAAACGTCCAATATCATTAAAAGAAATTTACATATATAGACAAAATGGAGAACTGATGAAATTTGTGGGAGGCAGGTCTAGCGGTTTCGGTGCTCCAATAAAAAAAATTTGAAAGAGAAACATTTGGCGGTCAAAAATGCTAATTAGCCATATGCACATCAAATAATCAGATATTTTAATAATATAAATTTTGTTTACATTTCTATGGGTTCTGTAAAATTATTTATCTGTTATTTTGCGAGGCGGCGCTTACGCGCTTCTCTATTTTGTCTGTACGCAGCTAAAGCAGGCCGATCGCTTCAATTTTTTTTTAAATTTTAATTTTTGGTACGGGAAGTTTCAGCAATTTATCTTAAGGCACGATGCCAAGCACCCCTATTTACACTATGTAATTCGTAATAAATTTTCTGCAATCAAATAGTTATTTTAATTTTAGAAAAATGATATACATAAACTATTTTAAGTAAAAATTTAGGGATGGAGCGGCATTTTTGTCAGTGTCCCAGGGTGCCAAATTTCTAAATCCCGCTCTGTATATATATATATATATATATATATATATATATATATATATATATATATATATATATATATATATATATATATATATATATATATTTTATATATATAATGCTATACTTAGATGTGAAATTATATGTGTGATATTCGATATTGTATTTTAGAATTAATATACATTTTCAATTTAATAGAGTATAAATAGATATACATATATATGAGTCAAAATTTTTAGGGCAATACATCTAACAAAAATTTTAAAATAGTTGATATTGGTATTTTGCCTTGAGGCAAGTTACATGAACTTCCCGATTTGTGTAAATAATTGACTTAATCCATGATAGATAAATTAATTTTTGAGTAGTTAAAAGTATTCAAAGTGGATTTATTACACATTATTGAAAATCGAACCCGGTCGGATTATTTTTTAAAAGCAAATTTTCAAAAATCAATAATTTTTATAATTGAGACAGTTTTTTGTAGGACTTTAATTGTTTAGTATGTTCATTAAGACCAAGTTTACTATCGATTTACCAAGAAAAAGGTCTAATTTTAATTTTAACAAATGTCAAAAGAGCTACTCATTTTCTCAAACGTTGATGAATTTTTAAAATTAAACTACTTATCGTAAGGCCGTAATATTACAGTAAGTTCTATAAGACCATGATATATATCGTCAAAAAAAATTCCATGAAAATCGGCTTAAATTTTTTTTCAACAGTTAATTACAAGAAAACGGCTCGGTAGATTTTCACCTAAAACTAATCAGTATCATTCCCAACTAATATCTATCGAACAGTATTAGATTTTTTAAAATCGATTCGGTAGTATGAGCTTAAATGTTGACGAAAAATTTAACACTTTTTTCCAAGTTACAAAGAAACGGCTCGGCCGATCGTTGGACAAAACGATAATCCTCATCGAGATACATCAAATGGTTTTTAAATTTCTGAAATCGGTTCAGGCGTTTTTGAGCAATCGTCGATGAAAGTTCTAATTTCGACAAATGCCAAAAAGACCATAGGTACTAGTTTTTGCAAACTTTGACGAATTTTTAAAGCTAAACGAGTTGTCGTAGGGCCATAATATTTTAGTATGATCTAGAAGGCTATGATATCTACCGTCAAAAAAATAATCATAAAAATCGTCGTTTTTTTTTTAATTTTATTACAAGAAAATGGCCCGGCCGATCTCTATCAAAAACTAATCAGCACGATTCCCAACCAATATCTTTCGAACGATTTTTGAATTTTCAAAGTCGATTCAGAATTGCGGGCTAAAACGTAGACGATTTTTTTTTTTACTTCTCTGCGATTTATAAAGAAACAACTTAGCCAATCGTCGCACAAAACTGTCAAGCAATAGTCCTCATCGAGATACATCGAATGGCGTTTAAATTTTTGAAATCGGTCCAGCCGTTTTTGAGAAAACGTCGATTTACGGCAAAAAACCTGTGTACACAAACACACACACATACTTTATTTGTTATGTTTATTTTAAACATAAACTTCTCCTTCGGGAAGTTAATCATTATCAAAAGAGTTTCGCGATACGAATTCATCACTATAAACAATATAAAATTAAGTACAGGCATATAAATCAACGGAAATATTTTAAATAGTTTATAAAGCAAATCAGACTTATTAAAAATAAAAAGTATATTCACTAGAATTTTGTGTCATTTTAGTTGATACACAGTTGTGCATTACTATTAAAAATTTGATATGATTTACAAATTATTAATATTTTGATTATTACAAAAATGATTATTACAGACTTAAATTTTGGGATAGTCGGTTGATACGTAGATTTTTAAATATTATCCTGTAAAATACTTAAAAAAAAATAAATAAATAAGACTACGAACAATGGACAAAACTTTAATAAAAATCATAATCTATACAATTATAGATTTCTATTTCTATTCTTAACAGAATAAGTAAAATCAAAATGCTGTTTTAAATAAATATTCATAAATAACAAAAAAAAAAAAACAGAATTGAAAGTTTTGACTACTTTAGAACATTTTGAATTAGTTTGCTATATTAGAAATAATTTAGGTGATAAAATTATACTGACGTCTTTCAGAGATTGATATTTCTTAAACATTTGTTTGCAAAAATTAAGATGTAATAAAATTTAAAGCTAAGTATAATAAATTTAAAAAAAATCGAAATAAATTCTAGTTCAAGATATTTATTCCTATATTCAAAGTAATATCGTATAGTACCTATATCCATAGTAAACGAGAAATTAAAATTTAGGATTTTCATTATTGTATCTTGAAATTGTAAATAACATATAGTTTAATAGAATAATTAATTTTGTAATAGACAATCAATGTAAGTTTAATATATTTATTAAAAACAAGCTATTTATAAATATAAATATGTATTGAAAATGTCAACCATTAATACATTTTATAAATTCATACTAAAGTGCATTTTCAATAATTAAATTTTTACAAGATAAATTAAATAGGTTCAGAATATACTTTATCATTTATTTTGACATACCGGTTACTATGACAAATACTTTTTCTTAGGACTAATCTCAGCACAAGAAAGCAAGCAAATTATTAAACTAACTTTTGAATAAGTTTCAATTTAAATTTGCATTAAAATAATTAAATCATCTGTAACTATTCATTAATTATGTGATGAAAATATGCAGCTATGGAACTCTGATATTTTTATGGTATCGAACCAATATTTTATGACAAAATATTGCAAAATCAATAATATTATCATATTATTATGGATTATAATATTATGTCCAATTATAATATTCCTATTACTATTAGTAACATATGTTTCAAGTTCTAAAAATCAGGTTAGTTCTATATTAGTAAAATAAAAAATTCAAAATAAAGAAAAAATGAGGTAATACAATTGGGCATATTATAATCCATAATAATATGATAATATTATTATCCAAACTATACACTTGTTCAAAACTTAATATAGTTTGAAAAAAATTAAATTATTTATTAAATAATAATTTTATCTAAAAAAAATTGGAGATTTTCAGATTGAAAAACAAAGATTATTTTAAAAGTTTTATTATATTGAATATTTGGACATTTAAATCAGCGTATTTTACATTTTTCATTACACATTTATATATTAATTTAATGTAATTAATAAAATAATTAAATTACTAACTTTTGAATAAGTTTCAATTTAAATTTGCATTTAAATAATTAAATCATCAGTAACTACTATGTGATAAAAATATGTAGCAAAGGAACGCTGATATTTTCATGGTACCAATCCAATATTTTATGACAAAATTTGCTTTAATGTAGAAACTGATAAAAATCAGTTATAAATCAATAATATCATATTAATATGGATTATAATATGTCTATTTGTATTTTTTTCCTTATTTTTTTTTTCGTTTTGAATTTTTATTTTACTAATATAGAACTAACCTAATTTTTAGTACTTTAGTAATATATGTTACAAGTACTAAAAATCAGGTTAGTTCTATATTAGTGAAATAAAAATTCAAAATGAAAAAAAAAATAGGGAAAAAAATACAATTGGACATAATATTTTAATTCATAATAATATGATAATATTATCATCCAAACCGTACATTTGTTCAAAACGTAATATAGTTAGAAAAAAAAATTAAATTATTTATTAAATAATAATTTCAACTAAAAAAATTGGAGATTTTCAGATTGAAAAACAAAGATTATTTTAAAAGTTTTATTATATTGAATATTTGGACATTAAACATCAGCGTATTATACATTTGTCATTACACATTTATATATTAATTAAATATAATTAATAAAATAATTAAATTGATAATTATTATACTTATAGCTAAGATGCAACTATTTTCCACACCACCCAGGAGGTATAGTTGCCAGGCGCGTTTTTTTTAATGTGGTGTCGCCGTACAAATTGTGTACAGCCCTAGTCCACTTACAAAATAACTTAAATTAATTAACTAAGCTAATTTACTAAGCCTAACTTAAATGATACGAATATAACATAAAAAAACACCCCACGAGATGATTAAATGTATATGCAGATCATCTTTAGAAAAAACCGTAGACGGTGCAAGAACCTGTTAGAAATTAAAGGTAAAATTGTAATGTACTATGGTAATTTTGTAATTAAGAAAAAAAAAAAAGAAAAAAAAAGTATTTACATGATGTACCCCCCTAAGATCCACCATGTAAATACTTTAACTCCGTAGTGTTCCCAGCACTATGAAGCTTATAGAAGAATGCACTTATAAAGTTCATAAATTTGTGTATTAATTATTGTTATATGAATTAATATTAAATAATTGTAAAAAAAACGCGGAATCTATGCGAACTGAAAGGTCCTTGCCGTCTTCCCCACCCATTTTTAAAATAAAAAATAGTAAACTACCAGCCTAATGTTAACTTAATAATATATCCATGTGTACGCCGCCCTCCAATTTTGTAGGCAATTTTCTGGTTGGTTCTAATCTTGTATGTATCTTCATCTCGTATGCATCTTGATCTTGATGTTTCACTGTATGTATCTTGATCTTGAACTATATCTTGATCTTGAATTGTAAATATCAAGGTTTTGCACTGTATATATCACAATATATCACTGTACATAACACTGTATGGCACTGTATATAACACGATTTTGTCCCAGATATATCTTATTTATAATATGTATATAAATCCGTCCACGAATCAAATATAAAGAATGAATAACGTAAATGGGGCCCCGATGAAATAATATAGAAAATGATCGCAAAAAAACTAATATCTTATGATCTATCTTCGCAAGTAAGATACTTATCTTAATATAACAAAATAATATAGAAAACGATCGCAAAAAACTAATATCTTATGATCTATCTTAGCAAGTAAGGTACTTATCAATACAACGATCTCCTGGTCGTGTGCGCTCCTGGTGGTAAAGTGGTCCATCCTACTTAGTAAAGTGATCTATCTTAGTAAGTAACAAACTTATCTGAATATAACAAACGTTCTTCTGGTCTTGTGCGCTCCTGGTTGCAAAGTGGTCCATCCTACTCTTGTAAACTGGTAATCACTAACATCCTGGTAAACATTCTTCCGTTTTAGTAATAGTGTTTTTAGGATCTATTCCTCTTGTAACTTCTGTGTCCAACCTAAAATTAAAATTTTATTTAATTATATCAAGATTAAAAAGATTTGTACATAGCTCAGAGTTTCTTACCATCTCACAAACATTGCCAAGTTCAACTACTTATAAATTCAGCATTCCTCCACCAGGAGACTCATTGTGCGACCAGTAAAAGTAAAGTTAATTCATGAAATTGTGTTCATTACATTACGGCACAAAAATTTAAAACTAAGTTAAAAAAATTAAACTGAATTTTATGAATCTATAAAAAAGTTACTTCTTTCCATGGGCCACTTATCAAAACAATAAAAAATTAAATTTAATAATAATTATAAAAATAATGGCACAAATAATATTAATTATTAAATTAAGTGCATGGGGTTGCGGTGCTTCTGGGAAAAACAACGCAGGGGTCCATACACACACGAATATGAAACAAAAATTAATAGATTAGTTAATTACTAAATTAAATTTAATTTATGAAACCCGACTACTCGGACCTGCCGTGGGGGGTAGGCGGCAGGAAAGTAGCTTCAAACGCGCAATTTTCATCATACGTTCGTTCGTTTTTCGAAAATTAAAAAAAAAAGTGTGAACCATGTACTCGAAATAACGCAAAATGGTAAATGAAAAATTACTTTTAACACTACATCAAATAAACTAAGTTACAATTAATATCAAAAAAAGTTTAATGCACAATAAGCCTCCCAAGTTATTATTCACTGCACATAACACTGTTCGTACGGTATAAAATCTGAAAAGAAAGGAACTACATTAAAAATTAAATAACCAACTACATTAAATAATTATAACAAGCCAATTGCAAATAATTCCAACATAAGTTCAAATATAAATTTTAATGTTGTAATAGTTTTCTAATTCTAATCTTTTTTTCATAATTATTGACTTTGTAGTCAAATATATTAGCCATTTTCAATTAAAATTATTATTTTGTACAATTATTATGCAATATTCATAGTTTAATGTTATAAGACGTAATAAAATTTATACATATACTGCATATGTTTTTATTTCTATGTTTCATTTAATAATTTAATATTTAAATCAAAATGTATATTCAAATAAATTATATAAAATTAAATTTTATGTCAAAATTTTACAGTTGAAATTATTTATATTTATATAATATAAAATATATACAATATACATTAGATACATTTGTACATACATATATCTATATATATATGTACTTGCGCTTTGATTTGATTTATTTCTATTGAATTATAATTAAAAAAAAATTTGAAAACCGTTTTTATTTATATTATTGGATTTACATTATTTTCTATATTTTAATATAATTTTGGCCGAAGAGTTATTTCAAAACCATTACAGCAACTCTTTGACAAAAATTATTTTGAAATAGAAAAAATAACATAAATCGATTTATATAAATAATGAACAGGTTCCATTTTTTTTTTATTAATAATTCACTAAATAAAATTAAATGAATCAAAACACAAGCAAACACCATGCATTAATCATATATTCAAGAAACTGAATACAGTAGACCCTCGCTTTACACGGCACTCTGGGTACGCGGTTCCCATACTACACGGAGCTAAAAATCCGACATCCCTCCGACTACACGGACTTTTTATTACACGGTATTTGGTCAACAGCCCATAAGTTCGTTGTGCAACCTATGAGTGATTCTAGTAACTTGATATCAAAAGGATATTAATGTAAGTTTTCTTATCGACTTTTAAATTTTAGACATGCTTGATTATATAATAGCTGTGTACTGCATTGGGTTTTATTGTCTAAGAATACGTTTGAATAAGTATTGATAAAAAAAATCTGAACCGACATGTCTGAAGAAACTAGGAAAGGCCTCAAGAGGAGGTGTATATCGCTTGAAAATAAAATTGAAATTATAAATCGGTTAAAAGATGGTGAAAAATTATCGGCTATTGCCAAATCAACAAATTTAAATGAATCAACCATTCGAACCATAAATAAAAATGCAGATCATATAAGGAAAACTGTGGCAGATGGGTGTCCTTCAGTTGCAAAACGTGTCACTCGCACGCGACCATCTATTATGGTGAGAATGGAACGAGGATTGATGATTTGGTTAGAAGATTGTATAGCTAAAAGAATTCCTATAAGTGGAAATCTTATAAAACAGAAAGCTCTTAAAATTTATAATCACTTAAAGAATAACGGACCTTCACTACATAACCATTCGTTTGCCGCGAGTAAAGGATGGTTTGACAAATTTAAAAAACGGCATGCCTTGCATAATATAAAATTTCAAGGCGAACAGGCATCAGCAGATTCAGAGGCTGCCGAAAATTTTAAGCTGAAACTTGCTAGAATTATTAATGAGGGAGGTTATTCACCTGAGCAGATATTCAATGCTGATGAGACGGCTTTGTATTGGAAAAAACTTCCATCAAGGACTTTTATTTCCAAAGATCAAAGGCGTGCTCAGGGGTTTAAACTTTCCAAACAACGAATTACTCTTCATCTGTGCAGCAATCTATCCGGGAACATGATTATGAAACCGATGATAATAAATTCTTCTTCAACTCCGCGTGCACTAAAAAACATGAATAAGACACGATTGCCTGTATTCTGGCGATCAAATAAGAAGGCCTGGATGAGTCAAGATTTATTTAAGGATTGGTTCTATAATTGTTTCATCCCGGCTGTGGAAATCTATATGATAGAAAAAAATTTGCATTTTAAAGTTATATTGCTTCTTGACAACGCTGGTTGCCACAATATACAGCTAGACCATCCAAATGTGAAAATAGTCTTTCTTCCTCCTAACTGCACATCATTAATACAACCTTTGGATCAAGGAATTATTCAAACTTTAAAAATGTACTACACACGTCGATTTTTTCAAACAATTTTTGACAGACTAGAAAATAGTAATAAAACTCTTATTGAAGTGTGGACTGAATTTTCTATTTTAGATTGTATTACAGCTTTATCGTCGGTTTGCGAGGAAATTAAACCATCAACGCTTAACTCGTGTTGGAAGCCTCTTTTACCTGAAATAGTTCACACAATGCAAGATGATTCTACAATTTCACTCCCAGCTGCAGAAATAATAAATATGGCTTCCCGCTTATGCGATGACGCCTTTGAAGTAAATATCGACGACGTACGACAACTTGTTCTCGAGGAAGAAACTTTGGATGAGGAGGAATTGATAGAATTAATTGATGGGCCTGCCTCAAATACATTGGTAAATGAAACAGATGAAATCGAATGGATTCCACATCTCGATATACAAGATGTAGAAAAAGGATTTAAATTGGCGAAAGAATTGGAACTTCATTTTATTCAAGCAGATAATTCAACAATGCGAAGTGCAAAATTTAAAAGAGAGTTAAACAGTTGTTTAGCTCCCTATAGAGAAGTTTTACAAGAATTGAAAAAATAAACAATCACAAAAACACATGTGAAAAAGAAGCATGAAAAAAATCATTTTGCCAATTAAAAGTAGACAAGTCACATGTGACAGCGAAGGCGATGGGAGTTGAAAAAATTTATGATTTTACCAAAGTCTTACTTGTTTATGTTGGAAAACATTTTAATTTATTTAGTTTAGTATTTTTTGTATTGTTTTTTTTTATTTTGTTAAATAAAAGTACTGTATGATTCATCTTGTTTTCCATCTTACCGAAGGAGATGTATATGATCTGTTTTATGTTTTCTCGACGGTTCAAGTCATTATGAATTGTTTGAGACTAAAATAAGAAAATGTGTATGTGTGTATGTACATATGGGCAAAGATTTAATCCGTCGTCGGCGTTTCCTCAGAAACGGCAGCACCGATAAAAACAAAAGTCGTTTGATACTTCATAAAAACTCGCGTTTACTACAAATATGTACCATTTTGTCTTACATCCATATACGGTAAAGGCATATTGAAACACTATTTTTTCACAATTAAATTGTTTGGTCCACTTTGGGACATCAGCACATGACGCATGAGCCCAAAGGGAACAAGTCATACATCGTACCGGGAATATAAGAATAGGAAAAATTTACAATAAATGAAAGTCTCCAAAGTTATGAAAGAAGTTATGAAAATATGTAATAACCATATTTTACAAGTTTTTTATTTTTGACCTCTAATGAATCATCATGTATCGTTTCCAAATTAATACTTTGTCATCTTGTCTATTCTATATCATTTTGTCCAAAAGTGAACGTGAATAAATAAATGATCAAAATTCAATCAAACACCTGTTTATTACGATAAAATTAATAGAAATTATGAGTACCTACTGACATAAGTTTATTCATTTTAATAAAATTAATTATAAAAAATAATAAATAAGTCTCCAAAAACACATCCATAAAATAAACTTTGGAAGGTGCGAACATGTTTGAATTGACTACTGCGTCGCGCCAATTTTTGAATAAGTTGTCTATGTCATACATGTCATTTCGTCCGTATTGCACCTACTTCAAGTTGTATTCCTGGGTCTCCATACAGCACGATAAAAATGATGCGATTTGTACTAACTCCGAGTCTCGCATAGCACGGTTCCCATACTGCACTATGTAAGGTTCCATAGAACGCACGACGAATTAGCCTGAATTGTATGTTAAATACGAGTTTCTTATAGCACGGTCTCCATACTGCACGGTACGCACTTGCCGCGTAAAGCGAGGGTCTACTGTATATGATTTTTTTTAGAAATTACTTGAAAAAAGTTTTAGAATAATATTAATTATTATAAATGACTTACCATTCACTGTAGTATCACCACGAGGTCCCAACACAAAATGACTTAACATGGTTTTTGTGCCAGCTTTTATGGGGGCAAAAGGCGCCAAAACAATATAAATCGTTACCCGTTCTGCCCGTTTATGCCGTTACCTACATATTCAAATTCAAATCTTATGTTTTTGTCATAGATTGTTATCTAAGATAAAATCATTTATCTTTGGTTGTTATCTTATCAATAAATAGTTTTGGATATTAGGCAATTGATAGCGCTAGTGTTGGCAAAATCACAGATAACCTGTCATTGTTTATTTGCGTTTGGATTTTTGAAGAAAATAAACAAATAAATTCAGTCTTAAAAGATTTTGAATATCTTTTGGAAAGATTATAGTGATAGAATAGTGATTATATGGATACATACCTAATTTTAATTAAGTCATAATTTAGTACATTAATATAAAGTGAACCTCTGGGTTTTCCCTTTGAAATTCTATGTTATTTGTCAAATTAATTACTCAATGTCTTTCTATGTAGACAGATTGTAATTTATAAAAAAATGGCTACGTGAAAAATTTGTGTACTTGGTATGAAATTATATATACTAAAGATAAAGTTAAATTTTAAAATCAAAATATATTTTCAATTTATTCAAGTGTTCTATTATACATGTATATGTACCTATATTTACAGTGCTGGATTTACAGTAGGGGCAGTCGGGGCTACTGCCCAGAGCGGCAAATTTTCGGGGGCGGCAAAATTTGGATAATGAGAAGAAATATCTATACCTTATAATTAACTCATTTTTTTAATAACATTTTTAATTTCAAGAAATATAATTAGCAAAACATTATACAAATGCAATGCAAAATTTGGCAATTTGGCTAATATAAAGATTCGTAAGTGAGTTGAAAGTTTAAGAAAAATATGTTCTTCAGTTCTCGAGCCCTCTTAAAATGACTAATTTGTGCACTTCCAAGCTCATAGCGCCGAAAAAAATTAAATTAGTGACGCATGGCATTGTGCCTTACGGCAAGTTACTGAAACTTTCCGTACTGAAAATTACATTTTATAAAAAGATTTAAATTTTTTTGAAAAATGATAAAAATTGAATTAAATTTTTTTTTATATTTCAAAATTTTTTGAAAATTATTAAGTTTCATTTATTAAACTTATTAAAATTAAATTTTATTTGAATAATTCGATTTTTATTGATAGCGAGACGTGCTGATCAGTTATTGACCAAGACGGGTCCAACTGTTTCGGATATACGGGCCAAATTGCCAATAATAATTCATATTTTGAGAAACGAAACGTTCAATATCATTAAAAGAAATTTACATATATAGACAAAATGGAGAACTGATTAAATTTGTGGGAGGCAGGCCTAGCGGTTTCGGTGATCCAATAAAAAAAATTTGAAAGAGAAACATTTGGCGGTCAAAAATGATAATTAGCCATATGCACATCAAATAATCAGATATTTTAATAATATAAATTTTGTTTACATTTCTATGAGTTCTGTAAAATATTTATCTGTTATTCTGCGAGGCGGCGCTTCTTTATTTTGTCTGTACGCAGCTAAAGCAGGCCAATCGCTTTAATTTTTTTTTTAATTTTATTTTTTGGTACGGGAAGTTTCAGCAATTTATCTTAAGGCACGATGCCAAGCACCACTATTTACACTATGTAATGCGTAATAAATTTTCTGCAATGAAATAATTATTTTAATTTTAGAAAAATGATATATATAAACTATTTTAAGTAAAAATTTAGGGATGGGGCGGTATTTTTGTCAGTGCCCCAGGGCGCAAAATTTCTAAATCTGGCCCTGTAAATATATATATATGTATATATATATATATATATATATATATATATATATATATATATAACTATGATAATTTTATTAGCATTTATATCTTGTATTTTTGAGTACAATCATATATTAAAATGCTTGAATTAAACACACAATAATTAAGTGTTTTTACATAGTCAAGATGACTATTAAGTTATTCGTATTCGATACTACTTAATAATATACTTTTATTGCGTAAGATTCTTATGTCATACAAAGTCTATTCAAGCTACTAATGTAATATGAACTAAATAATTAAAAACTGAAAAATCTTGTTATTTTATTTTTGTGTATGTTTTAAGTTTTTACATATAATATGTGCAAGTACAGTCATAAAGGCAATAAATAAATGCATATTTCTTTGTCTATAATTCTGTTCCTATCAATTATGAGATCTTCTTTGATTTTTTAACTTTACTATTCTTTTGTGAATTTTTCTTTGTAATTAGAAATCTAACTAAGATATAAACTATCCATATTATTGCAACTATAATAACTATTATTCCGCCAATGACATCTATTAATAGGATTTGATACATCGGCATATCATCAAAAGGTGCTTTTAAAAATGGAGCTCCATCATGCCTCAAAACATATTCTATACTATTAACAGCTTTTTGCAATGGAGTTTCTGGAGTATCTCGAAATATTTTAGATAATTTTTGTACACGTTCACGGTAACTGAAATAAAATTAAAATTTAGTTAGAAACATTATCTTTTTTTATTCTATACGCCAAATTAAAACCATGTATGAAATGTGAAATGAGGAAAATTTCATTCATCAAGACATAATTTTAACAACTTTGTGACAATTATCGATTATGTTTTATTATATTGAAAAGAATTTGAAACAAAAGCCAAAATAATGAAAATTGGCGCAAAAAGATTTAACAATCAATAAAATCATTATTAGGCAAAATTGTCATCACTACTTTTCTTCAACTCCAATAATAATTCTATTTAAGTTAAATTTAAAAATTAATATTTTTCAACGGGTCAATATGATCTGAAAGTCTTACATAAACTTCTTAAACCTATGATAATATTTATATTAAAAACCTTAAAAAATATTTTGAAAATGATTTCTTTTAAATAATATTTAGTTATAAAGAATATAATTTTGTTTAAGCTTTAGTAATCAACAATATAATTTTAATTAATTAAATCATACTGCAATAAAACGTAATTTTTGTTTAAATGATATGTATAGGTGTTTGGTAAGAATTAGTATATTTTAGTATAAGTTATTAAAGTAAGACTGATAATAAATACTATGATAAAATAATACGATTTCAGGAAAAAACTTTCGTTTAATAATAATTATCCGAACTAATTTCAAATATTGTTGAAAATACTGTGATAATGATAATTGGGTACAATTTGATGTTTTGTAATGATAAATCATAAAGTTAACTTAAGTTAATAATATTTTTATGAAAAAATATAAATTTATATATAGATTTTTAGTATTAGTTTTCCATTATTCCAATTATTCTTGACGAAAAACTGTTATAATAAAAGTAATGTTTTAAATTATTTGATCTTTGAAAATAAAAGATAGTCATCTAAATATAATTTTGAGGATACTTTGTCCTGCTCTAAAACAATTTTTAAAATTTTTGCTTTTATTACAGATTTACTTAACCGTGGTTAAGTAAATCTGGAAATTAACCAAAAATTGAATTACTTAAAAATTGTCTGATACTTTCGCGAGTATCCAAAGCAAACCTAGGAAAATATGAATGAAACCATTATTTATTAACTTTTTGTAAGGTAAGTTACAGTAATCGCAAAAAAAAATCGATAATATAATAATATGATAATTTTTTTTGCTTATCTTTACGTTTCAAAGATTTCTGAACATTTTGTTGTTTGTGTATGTATAGTATATACGTATGTGCGGATACCATTATTAACTTCCCCCCGTAGGGTAAGTTTTTGTTATCGTCCAAAAATCGAAATTGAAAATTTTTGCATTTCTCGATGTTTTGAAGGTTTCTGAACATTTTGGCATACCTCAGAAAAAATGGATGTATGTGTATGTGTGTTTATGTATGTATGAATACAATTTTCCGGTTACCGATTTGAATGGTTCAAAAAACATTCGATTCCTATTGATAGGGAGATGTGCTGATTAGTTTTTGGCAAAGGCAGGTCTAGCAGTTACGGAGATAAAGAGCAAAAAGTGCAGAAAAAAGAAAACGAGTTTTTGAGAGATCGGAGCATCCTATATGAATGATCTAAAAAACATTTGTAATGATTGGGAGAAGAGATGAATAGTTTTTGGCAAAGGCAGGCCCAGCCATTTCGAAGATACAGAGCTAAATGTGCAAAAAATGGCAATTTTTGAGAGAAATAAGCGGCCGATATAAATGATTCAAAGAAGTTTCTGCTTGTTTTAACAAAATAATTGATCTTGGAAAAAAAATTTTGTTTCAAATTTTTTTTTCATTTTTTTTTCAAATAAAGTTTTTTTTTGTATATCGAAAATAATTCAGATTTTAATTTTAATTCTGACTAAAGTTCTAATATACTTTAAACAAATAATTTCAACTTTGCAATTCAGTTTATAAAATTCTTATAAATATTAGACAATGCTATAGTATTTATTTATAATAGTCTATTTGAAAACATTTAATATTCCTCGAACATTTTGTTACGGTACGGGAAGTTCCAGCAATTTGCCTTAAACCACGATGCCATACACCCCACTAGTTTGCTGACGTTTTTAAGAGCACGGATCAACCGATTTGAATGATTCAAAAAAACATTTGATTCCTATTAATGAAAAAACGCACTGATTAATTTTCCGTAAAAGCAGGTCAACCCATTCCAAAGATACGGGACACAAAGAGACATATCACTCATATTGGCATAATAAAAATCTGGTTAAATTTTTCGAAAGACAGATTCAGCGGTTTCGGAGAGCCAATAAAAAATTTATAATTATAATGGAATTGGACATTAGGACATATGCACATCAAATTATCAGATATTTTATAAAAGTCTTAATAATAAGTACAGATTTTGTTTACATTTCTATGGGTTCCGTACAAAGAATTTTAATGTTTAACCATTATACTGCAATGTGCAGTATAATTCGTTTTATAATTCGTCTCTAAAACAGCAACGCAAAGCGATTGCTTTGAAAAAAAAAATCAAAATTTTCGAAAACATTAAATGCTTTTTCACATTTTTATAGTACGGGAGGTATCAACAATTTGCTTTGAGGCACGATGCCAAGTTTACCTTGAATTGTATAAAATATCATTTAAAGCTGTGTCAAATGAATTTTCGGTCAACTTATTCAGATCGAGTGAAACTGCAATGCCATCCTGAACAGCTTCTGCAACGTTCATAAACTGATCTCCTAAGATAGGAATTCCTAACAATGGTACCCCAAAGTAGATGGCTTCTATCTTGCTGAGCATACCACCATGCGTTATGAAAGCAACAGTGTTGTTATGTGCTGAAATTTACCCAGAAATTTCAGTAAAATATAATTTAAAAAAAAATAGTTTAGTGGTTGCAGTTACTTAAACTGTTAGCGAATATTGAGTTTTTCTATTCATAAAAATATATACCTATATTCACACTTATTGCTGACCATAACTTTGTCGAAACTTACAACCCACATATAATATATAATATATGTACTTAGAGATACAACATTTTAAATACCTAAGTTTCTGTTTGCAAAGTATTTGGAAATAATTCATCATTGTAAATATTTCTTATAATTAATTATTATAAAATGATTAGATATAAATTAATACTATACAGAGATAATCAAAGAAAATATGCTAAAAAGTTAGGCCTTAACCACAAGGCTATTTTCATATATTAATAAGAAATACTGCACACTGATGTAAAGTGCTACTTTTTAAATTTCATTAAAATTTTACAAATAAAACTCTCCTTATAGTCCTGTAATATTTAAAGGGGTGTGTTGTTATTTTCAATTTCTTTACAATGAGAAGTCCCAGACAACAATACCTGAGGTTCTCCTTGTCCTTACAATTACTCATTGTCAGATAAAAATTAACATAATTAACTCGCTATGTTAAATTATTATTTTTTATCCTAAACGTATATAATCCTAAAATTTCAATATATTGATTGAATCATGAAATAATCGGCAAGTATGGAAAAATTATTTAACTTTTTTTTAACATAATTAATTCCCAGATTTTGGTTCATATGAAAGCAAATAATTTCTGTATGTAAAGCCCGGTGCACACGACGCTAGTATTCCTTGTAACATGATTTCTATCGTAACAGGATTTCTAGCGAGCAAGAATTTTGCGCCAGATTTTCACTTATTTTATTATTAATATTAATTTCGTGCATATTCAAATAGTTTATTATAAATATACACTGTGAATTTCACAATTTATATTTTATAGGTCTAAAGCCCGGTGCACACGACGCTAGTATTCCTTGTAACATGATTTCTATCGTAACAGGATTTCTAGCGAGCAAGAATTTTGCGCCAGATTTTCACTTATTTTATTATTAATATTAATTTCGTGCATATTCAAATAGTTTATTATAAATATACACTGTGAATTTCACAATTTATATTTTATAGGTCTAAAGCCCGGTGCACACGACGCTAGTATTCCTTGTAACATGATTTCTATCGTAACAGGATTTCTAGCGAGCAAGAATTTTGCGCCAGATTTTCACTTATTTTATTATTAATATTAATTTCGTGCATATTCAAATAGTTTATTATAAATATACACTGTGAATTTCACAATTTATATTTTATAGGTCTAAAATACACTAATGCTTATAAGTGTACAAACAGGGAATTGTATGAATTGTAAACAAAAACATGTATGTATCGCATCTGATTAGAATTAGGTGAAACAATAATAATTAAAAGATAATAAAATGCTTCAGTTTAGGGGGCACAACTAGTGTGAAATTTTCAAAAAGTCGAATTTTCAATTTTTCATATTTCGATAGGTTATACCTTTAAAAATAACATACCAAAATTTCAAATCGATATCTTAAATAGTTTTTGAGTCACAGCCATTTAAAGAGTATATACATAGTATATAGTATAACGATCATTTTATCTTTAAACGCGTTTTTCTCGAAACAGCATTTTTCGAATTTGCTGCAGCGATTCCTCAAAAACAAATGATCCGATCACTATCAATTTTATTTGTACATGTTTTATATATAGTTCTCCGTAAAATAAACTATCGATTTTTTGATAGGATCAAAAATCGAATTTTGGCAGTCCAAAATCTTTTTTTTTTAAAAACGCCGCCATTTAATCAATTTTTGATTTCTGTTTTATCGTAGTTAATTTTGCAGACAATATTATCTAGTTTAACGAATTTTTTTTTTGGATTTGATCCACGTAGAAGGCCGGAATCACTGCAGCAGTGAAGGGCCTTTTTTGTGCCGTTGGAGATCGACGATAACATAAAAGATATTTGTTTTTTTTCTTCAAAAATTTTGAGATGTGCTGATTAGTTTTTGGCAAAGGCAGGTCCAGCAATTACAGAGATGAAGAGCAATAAGTGCAAAAATATAAATCGAGTTTTTGAGAGAACGGAGCATCCGATTTGAATGATCTAAAAACATTCAACTAGTAATGATTGGGAGAAGTGGTAATTAGTTTTTGGCAAAGGCAGGCCCAGCCCATTTCGAAGATACAGTGCTAAATGTGCAAAAAATGGCAGTTTTTGAGAGAACTAAGCGTCCGATTTAAATGATTCAAAGAACTTTCTGCTTGTTTTACCGAAACAATTGGTTTTGGAAAAAAATTCTTGTTTCAAATTTTTTTTTTGAAAAAAAAATTTTTTTTTGTATATCGAAAATAATTCAGATTTTTATTTTGATTTTGTTCTAATATACTTTAAACAAATAATTTCAACTTTCCAATTCAGTTTATATAATTCTTATAAATATTAGACAATGTTACAATATTTATAGTAATCTATTTTAAAACATTTAATATTCCTCGATCATTTCGTTACGGTACGGGAAGTTCCAGCAATTTGTTTTAAGGCACGATGCCATACACCCAACTAATTTTTTTTTAATTTTGAGTATTTTTGCAAATTTCGAAATTTTTGAAATAAAACGATTTGAATTTTTTTGTAATTTTTTGGAAATTTTGAATTTTTTTGATATTTCAGATAAAATTACGAAAATTTGAAAAAAAAATGCGTATTTAAATTTTTTCGGAAATTTGAATATTTTAAAATTACTGAACTGCCTTTCCTAAACTAATCATTTATTCACGCCGCTATATATACACAATAGCTATTTACAAAATAAAAACTAAACGCTTCCAAAATCGAAATAAATGAATCAAGTACGCATTGGTATTTTCGTGTCAAAACGCAGCTTTCCTATTGGACACTGAAGGTATCGGCCACGAGATCGTTCATCTATCGCCGACATAGGACATGCTCTATTCGTAAAATACGGCAGGAATTTGCAAGGACTGAAGTTGTTATGAAATCAAATTTCGACGTTGTTAAGGCAACGGTTTTACTTAGAAATTATGATGAGTATACCGCCGTTGTGAATGCGTGAAATCTAGCAGGCCAGATCGCAAATTATGTCGCGCAAGATCGTAAATTATGGTTTATCATGTCGTTCCTAGGGTAACAAACAAACAAAAACTGTCCAGCATGAAAACTGGCGTCGTGTGCACCGGGCTTAAATATATTATAATGTTGTATGCCGTAAAAAAATACACATTTTTAACGTGTTTCTGGGTGTATAGGTATGATGTTAATATTGTGAAATTAAAAATTCTTATTGAGTAATTCAATTCATAAACACTAATAATTTTCTATTATTTTACCATTATTCTCTTCTATTTATTTTATGAATGGCGAATTTAGAAAGCTGTATTTTCTACAATTACTTCAACACATAGTATGAAAATGTATACTGATAGAAATAATAAACAGGAATTAGTAGCGATTAAACTATAACTAAGACTATAGAACATAACTATTCATTTATTGTTAAATAAACTTGATATCACTAGGAATGTTACTTTTGAAAAAAAAGAATGGTCTATAAATATTAGAAGAATTCAGAAGGTTGCAAATTTTAATTGTTAAAAAATTAATGTAAGAGAAAATCAAATTATGCTAATATTATGAAAATCTGATATATATATATATATATATATATATATATATATATATATATACAGTTTGATTACCTAGTATATCTTGTTGCGGTAACCATTTCCGAATTATAACATTATCTGGTTTATTTGGAAGATGCTCGTCTTCCCATTTCCAAAGTACTTTCTGATTAATTTTACCTAAACATGTTAACATAATATTTAGATATTCCTTGGGTAAGTTCGAACTCTTTAAATTCCCTCCCATACTAAATAAAACTACGCCTTCTCTGGCTTGATCCATTAAAATTTGAAGGTCCTAAAATATTAAAATATTTAAATAAAATCTAATAAACACATGCAAATATTTCAAATTTTAGGTTGTTATTAAATATTTATCTACGATTACATTGTTATGATTTATTATATACATATATATATATATATATATATATATATATATATATATATATATTAAAAACAATAAATTCATATTGCGTTTTAGAATCTCTAATAATGGTATTTATTATGCTTTATGATTTCCAATGAAATATTTTTATTGGTTTATACAGTTAAGATTAATACGAATCAGATTTAAGAGATTAGAGAACTAAAAACTTTAATAAAAAAACATTTATAAACAAATAAATTTATTCCAACCTCATTTAAATTCTGTAATTTAATGTGCATTCCTGCAACATTAATCATATTTGGATATTGTGGCGTTGGCTTTGACACTGCAACATTATTATTCAGCAAAATTAAAGAAAAATTTCGATAAAGATCACTCAATGATGGAAATTGAGTTGGTGATCCAATTTGCAATGGTTGGAAAAAGTTCTTATATAACTGTTCTTGATAATTCATGCGAGACCTGAAAACAAAAATTTTGCAAAATTACAAAGTATATTTAAAATATTATAGATGCGATACGTACCGATCTAAATAATCGTATCCTATATAAAATAAGCTATTTACAAATCTTTGAAAATACGTCATAGGCACAGTATATCCAAGAATAATATTAGGCTCTCTTGCAGGACTTTTAATGAATCCTACCATCTCATCAGTCCAATAATTCGTACCAATTGTACTAAATACAATATTAATTGTACGAAAGTGGTACCCGAAACCAAAAATACACTCATTTAAATTAAATTCCGTTATAAATAAATCAAATTTTTTACTCGAGTTGGCTAATTTCTTCATCTCTGGATGTTGCATAGTTAGTTCAGCAAATTTATTCCGAACATCAAATATATACTTGATCATACTCAGTGCAGATCTATCATTGGATTCAAAGTTATACATGGCATCTAAATTATAAAGAACAGTCATTATTAAATGATTTGAGTAAAACAATAATCAGAATTTGACATTCTATAAACTATGTGATGATTATTTTTACTAATAGCTATTTTAAAGAAATATAATACATTATGAGAAGAAATTTCCTACTTCATTTGTGAAAGCTACAATCATGTAGGTATAAAATTTCATAACGACAATATTGAACTATGAATAAATATGTTGGAAGTCATATAATTTGTAAAGTAATTTCATAGAATCAAAAATTTTGCTAATCAATTTTATTTTTTGAATAAATTTAAATATTATGTAAATAATTGTTTGTAAATATTATTCACAAAATTATTTGTATTATTAACTTCTCATATTTTAGTTTAATATACTTACTAATAGACTTTTCAATTAATCCTTCTAAGACGATTTCCTTGAAATTTGTATGATTTTCAGCTCTTTTAAAAGGGCTCGCCATAGTAACCTTGACAATAAAAACAAAAAAAGATTAATAACCAGCAGTGTAAATAATAAAATAAACTACTAGGCGTAAATGGCATTTTATGTTCAGCATAGTTACATCAATTTTCCGATAGTTAATAAGAATTTAATTTTAGCATTTTTTTATATTGGTCTTATTCCAAACTTTATCGACATTTTATAATAAAATCACATTCTTCAGGCCTATAATATTTTAGAATGTTTGTTTTGGCTATTTCACTAAACCGCTATATAAAAATACATTTTTTCAAAATTATTTATGAATTTATTGAATTTTTAGCAAAAACAAAATTTTCACCGATTTCGAACTTTTTTCAAACTCTGTAAACAATTTTAGTAAAAATTATCTGCAATTTTGACAAAAATCAAGTTTTGGCTCACATACACACAGGCACTCATACACAATTATACGTTTTTAAGTTTGGTGGCAAACGTTTCATAATAACTTGAAACGTCGAAAAACTATGAAAATGGTAAATAGGAAGTTCTGGCAAGAACATTCTTTGTATTTATTAAGAATTTTAAAAAATTGCAGAAGAATATCTACCTTATGTCCATTATCAGCCAAAGCTATTCCAAGGGCTTCTCCTAATATATGATGTGATTTTGAAATTGAATTGAAAATCATCAATATTTCAGCACTATGTATCAAAGTAGGTAAAAATAATAAAAAATTTAAAAATAAAACTGACTTCAAATTTTTGGTTAGACGCATTTTCACTTCATTTAATTAAAATACAATTGCGTGTCATACGCTGAAGTAAATGAATACAACTGAAATTTAAAATCTTTACATTCTTATAGATAAATATAAAAGTCAATAAATGAATGAATATATATATATATATATATATATATATATATATATATATATATATATATATATGAATGCATGTATGTATATTATAGGATTAGTTGAGAAATCTTATCTTTCTTACTTGCATTAAAGTGTAATCAATTGTTTACGTTTTACGATGACAATTGTACTTATTATTTGCACATTATTTATTATTTTCTAATATAATTAACGAGTTCGATTCGCTTTTTGTTGATTATTTTTAATTATTATTAATAAATAAAAATTTTCTACAAAGGTTCTAATAGATAAAACGTTGCTAACTTGATATTGAATGGTCCATATGTATATTAGGGTAAGTTGAATTTTATTTTTTCATAGTATTATAAAATTTTGATAATATATATCGAATAAGTTTCAATTTTATTTTCCTTTCAAATTATATGAATTCTGATATAACCACTCTATACTATCAAGACAAGATATTACATTGGAAAAAGTTATTTTTCAAAAATGTTTTAGAATTCAGTATGTAGATATGGAAATATTACGTTAAATCTATGAATACTACAAATGCTATGTGCAGGTGCCACAAATGCACTTTTAGCCAGTTTTACCAATTTTGATCTTTTTTATAGTTTAATAGAATTTGACCAACTCTTTTCCAAACATTAATAATTTTATAATTTTTTTATAATTTATAAATAAAATTTGTATAAGAAAATAAAATATGGAATTATTAGCTCATAATTTTACACAACTTTCATACGATTTTGAAGTATAAATAAATAAAGAACTTTTTACGAAAATGTTAACAAGATACTTTTTTAGTTAATTACAAAAATGCATAATAAAGGCTCAAATCTAATAGACGCTAGTCATTTAAAAAAATTTCGACAAAATGTTATAGCCAGAAAAAAATTAGTTTGCAACCAATCAGAGGGCGTCCAATAATGATGTGAGGCTTCTAGGGGGAGGGGGTTTGACAAAAAATCTAGAGGGGTCTAGTAAGATATCACGTGTATTTATTTTTAAAGTAAAACTTCTTTAGGCGTGACTAGGGTGTAAATTCGTACAAATGCAACGGAAATGCGTTACGCCAGAACTGTACGTCATTCGCTCTCGATGAAATCATTTCAATACGGGTCGATTGTGATTAGTTGTCGTGTATGTGAATAGAGATCTGTCGTTGTATGCGTACCCATATCAGCAAGGAAATCGGCATAGATAAATAAACATTTTAAAGTTACATCGTAGTACAAATCTTGATTTAATGAAAAATGCCTGAATCAGAAGAATATTTTACCCTGTTCCTTGAAAATAATAAAACAAATTCAACATTTGTACCGTGAACTAAACGTAAGTTTATTGATTAGAAATTATTTCTATATTATTCGTAGTTTCTATAAATCTTTGAAGTTATTAAATGGAAAATATTTTTAGGCACGACAGATATTATAGCTGTTCAAAGAATGAGATTATATTATATGCCAGCGAAGAAGTAAAAAAAAATCAAGCAATCAATGAAAGTATGTTAATTTTAATTACATGAAGTTCTTCAAACACGGTTACATGATGAGTGAAGTTGCGGAGACGATATTTGTTTAGGCGTTGTTTAACACAATCCTCTGTGTGAATGAATATTATAGAATTTATTAATCAGCAATTACTTCATTTTACTAATGAAAGTTATTTTCTAAATGCTAATTACAATGACAAACCGATCATGCCATATTTGAATGACTATAATTTCATTATTGACTTACTATATATGCTGTTATATTATACTATACATATGACTTTAATTACATTATTGTTTTTAAATATTATACATATTTTTAATGCTATTATAAATATAGAATTTATAATTTATCATTATATAAATGTGTATAATGGTTGAGACTAATAAATATGTGCATTACGAGTGTTAGCTTATTACTAATGAACATTATTCAAAATTGTTATATGATGGACTTATTTTTACTTAACTTAAATTTGCTACTTTGTACAGTAGCAAATAAGTTTTACTTCAATCGCTTTTTTTACCTAATTTTTCGAAATATAAACAAAAAATATACGTTTTTTTTGTAAATTCGAAAAATTTGTTTGGAAAATTTTACCTAACTAAAAATACACGTGGGGGAGGGGTAATTCTAAATATCACGACAAATCACCTGGAAAAGTGGGGGTCCAAAAATCTCTACAAAATCTATCACGTGAATAATGAGCGCTCTCTCACATATCAGTCAATTCATAAAAACTAGAAACGTGAAGAACAAATAAAATTATCAAAACAGATTTTCTGCCGAAAAAATATTTTTTTCTTCAGGTAGTTAACAATATTAATGAAACAAGATAGATATTTTTTACGATTCACTGTAATAATTTCATCAACTCAAGAATTCTTATCAAATAAAATCAATACTATTTTTATTAATATAATTTTACATAAATAAATCGTTCCCTTAATTTAGTTTTTTCTTAACATCAGTTTTGCGTGTTAGTCTCCTAACACAGCATATAACCTTCTTTAAAATCCAAAAGATTATTAAAATAGGTAAAGTTACACATAGTACGATCGCAGGAATCACGTCCAAAAGTAAAACTTGGTAATCTGGCATACTAGCTGCAGGCGAACGTAAAAATGGAGCTCCTTTGTGCCGAATTATATACTCAATTGATGAAACAGCTTTTTCAACTGGAGTTTGACGTTCGTCTCGGAAAATTCTTGATAGTTCTTGAGCTCGCAAACGGTATCTAAAACCACAATTCATTACTGGCACCAATAATTATCCATTATTGAAATTGTTAAAATTATATTTACTTTGGATTCGTTAAAACTTCTGACAAAGCGTGTGTTAATCTTTCTTCTGTTATTTCATGCAACTCAATTTTAACTGCGTATCCTGACCATTCAGCTCTAACCATATTCTTAGGCTGGTCCCCAAATACTGGAATACCAACAAGTGGTTTTCCGAAATACAAAGATTCCAATGAACTTAATAAACCTCCATGTGTTATAAAAACTTCGACATTTGGATGCGCTACAAAAAAGGTTTACATACATTAAGTTATACCTAAATGTAAAATTTGATTCATTTATCTTTACCTAATATAGCCTGTTGTGGCATCCAAGGTAAGATCACAACATTATCCGGTTTGTTTGGCATATTTTCATCCTCCCATTTCCACAAAACGGTTTTGTTTAGTTTGGAGAATGTTTTCAAAATTGCATCACGAGTCGCATTTGGTAATTGAGCACTTCGCAAATTACTTCCTAAACTGAAGTATACTACACCTTCATTAGCGTTATCAAGCCTGTTTTGCAAGTCCTAATTATAATATTATATAATTTGTGTTAATATTAATGAATATCATATAATGAAATTTGAAAACTTTTTCAAGAACATGACGCGGTCATTTATTGTTAAGAAAATTGCAAAAATAAAAAAAAATTAAATCATTACAAAGTTTACTTCAATATGAGTGTAATAGAAAAAAATTAATACGGATCCGATCAGCACAACTGAAAATAATTAATTTACCGCAGAGGATGTTCATAGAAATTGAGCCAAAAATCCATATTTCAATCGTAAATATTTACGTAAAAAATTTATTTTCAGCAAAATCCTGAGATGCGTGTCATATGATTTTATGTATGAAAAAAAATCAGACAATTCTAAAATGTGACATTTTATTTTTCCGAAAATCCGTGCGATTTGAAAAAGAATGTCCCATATATATATATATATATATATATATATATATATATATATATATATATATATATATATATATATTGAATGGTAGGTATATATATATATATATATTAGAGTGGTCCTTAATATGGATATTTTTGGGTTTTGTTGCTCAAATGCTTCCAAATTGGTAAAAAAAAATTCTGAAAGTTTTAACTTTTTATATTAACTTTAAGATAGTCCGCATCTAACCAAAGTTTTTTATAGAAATAACATGGGTAAAATTTCATTTGTTTTTCAGAATTATTTAGCTCAGTGACAAGTGAATCAAAATTTTGAGAATAATATTATATTTGCTTAATTTGACTATAAATAACAAATTACAACAAAAATTTGATTTATTTAATAAAATAAGTATTTACTTAGGAAGAAGATCCAAGGAAATTTGGTTGGAGTACGTAAAATATCCATATTAAGCACCACCCTAATATATATATATATATATATATATATATATATATATATATATATATTTGTTTGTTTATAATTAAGTTTAAATAAACCAGATATAAGTTATGTTTTGTCCTAACACATGCTGCATGACTTTTCTCCTATGCGAAGATCCAGTGTGATTATTTGAAATAATACAAATTTTACTGTCATTTACAAATAAAAACAGCATGATCCGCTGCTATCACAATTAATCAGCAAAATTTTCATTTTACCCTTCAAATAATCTTTGATTTTTTAAAATCATATTAAAATTTTCAAAATAATTAGATATAACTGTTAGTTATTAAAAACAGCTAAAGCAACATGCGAACGTTAACAATAATTAAAATATATCAAATTTTAAAAGTAGTTTAAAAAATAAACAAACAATTTTAAATTAATAAAACGATTCATCATTATCAAAAAGTAATCTTTGCTTATGAATTCCTTCAAACATGAATTTTCAAAATATTTACTCTTAATTTATCTGTTAATTATCAAAATCGAATTCTTCTCAAATCGTCGCGCAAAAATAATTAGTGCTGTTAATTAATTATTTGTTATTAAAATTGTTTTCGACAAAACGCTGGCGAAATGCAAAACTTACATTTACATACATATACATATTTTTTCCCAATTTTATATGGGCCGATTCGAAATAACGTCGCATGGCGTAGAAAATAAACATTAAACATTAAACGACAAAAATAAAATCAAACATTATAACAACCTGCATCCAAAACTTCGCTCCTATATATAAATTGATAAATATTGTTTAAAATCTTTTACAAAATGGATGAATATTACCTCCGGTAGTTTCTTGGGATTGATATGAATTCCACCAATGTTTATCATATTTGGAACAAATGCTTGAGCATCAGATACAACAAAATTGGAATTAAGAAGGACTAAAGACACATTTGTAATTACTGATGTAAATGATGGTACTTTTGACATATCACCATTGTATAATGTAGATGTAAAATTGTCATACAAGGGCTGTTGATCACTCAGATGCTTCCTGAAACAAATATATAAATTTAGTTTTACTATGTATAACTACATTTTGATTTGAAAAATAGTCGAAATAAATTTTAATTTTGAAAAAATAATATGCATCATGAATTAATTAAATAGATATGTTTAATCTTATAACAATAATTAGGTTATAATCTCATTTGTACAAATAATTCAAGATAAAACATTATTAAATATAATATAAATATTTCTTCGTTTTCGATTTGCAATCAAACTATTTCTTAATTAGAGTAATATAAAAATATTATGGGTAAACATTATTGGGATTTATAAACAAGCAAAAATACGATATAATGTTTATTATTAATAGATAGAAAATTTTATGATAATATAATAATTCTATTCAATAATGTGAATCTATGCGCGTTTATAATTGTGTAGATAAGTTTAATTAGTTTATATACTGAGTATTAGTCAGAAATTTTCAATCCTGTGACTTATTATTGATTTATATTTTTAAACTTGTGTACAATTTGGATACGAAACTCATGATTGAAGATAAAATAATAGTAAATCAGTCTTATTAAAGAGTGTTTGAAGATACGAAGAAAAAGAAACTATATTGAGAACTTCAAAGATATTTGTAATTCGAGAAATTTGTCATTTTTGGTTCACGATTAACTTTCGATAACTGATTTATTCGGCATAATTTCTTTAAATGACCCGTAATTCAGAAATGCGAAGTGTTACTGCCATTTTTTTTTAATTCCATATAATTTAACCTGCTCTATACATTTTTAACTTCCCGTAAGGTAAGTTATTGTAGTCGTCCAAAAATCAAAATTGAAAATTTTTGCATTTCTCGACGTTCTGAAGGTTTCTGAACATTTTGGCATACCTCAGAAAAAATGGATGTGTGTGTGTGTATGTATGTACGGATACAATTTTTTGGTCACGTTTTCGGGCTCGCGGATCAACCGATTTGAATGGTTCAAAAAACATTAGATTCCTATTGATAGGGATATGTGCTGATTAGTTTTTGGTAAAGGCAGGTCCAGCCGCTTCGGAGATACAGAGCAAAGAATGCAGAAAATATAAATCGGAATAATAATCGGAAAGATCGGAGCATCGGATTTGAATGATCCAAAAACATTCAATTCGTAATGACGGGTAAAAGTAATGATTAGTTTTTGGTAAAAGCAAGTCCAGCTGTTTCGGAGATACAGAGCTAAATGTGCAAAAAGGGGCAGTTTTTGAGAGAACTAAGCGTCCGATTTAAATGATCCAAAGAACTTTCTGCTTGTTTTAACAAAATAATTGATTTTGAAAAAAAAAATTTTGTTTCAAAAATTTTTGTTTCAATTTTTTTTTCTGAATTTTTTTTTTGTATATCGAAAATAATTCAGATTTTAATTGCAATTCTAACTAAAGTTTTAATATACTTTAAATAAATAATTTCAACTTTGCAATTCAGTTTATATAATTCTTATAAATATTAGACAATGTTACAATATTTATAGTAATCTATCTGAAAACATTTAATATTCCTCGAACATTTCGTTACGGTACGGAGAGTTACGGTACGGAGTTGGGTGTAAGGCGCGATGCCATACACCCAACTAGTTATAATTTTTGTCTTTAAAGTGTTATAAGTACAAACGATTGAAATCATGATTTAATATAAAATCACAATTAATGTAAAATATTACAAATAATATTGACACATGTGAACAGCTAGTTCATACAAAATACTTCAATATTTGTTTTTATGGCACTCATGAGGAGACAATTAACTTTTTATCAAAGTTTGCGTAAAAAAGAGATCAGTATTTAAATCAGTATTCGTTCCATTCTTACTATAAATACTCCTCATGCATATGTACTTTGATTACAAAATGTATTGTCGCCTGATGCGTTACTAATCACAGGTACATCGCTTCAGGTACAGGTACATCCCATAATAAAAATCCACGTACATATTTCAAAATATTGAGATCTAGGAAGATAGTTGTCAGATCACCTATTACTAACTATAGCTATTCTCCCTATGTACCCCAAATCGCGTAACTATATATAGTTATAAACATACTATCTATAGAAACTTGCAAGTACCCAAATCGCGTAACGCTCCGTTCTCTTAAAAACTAAGTTACCATTTTTGGCACGTTTTGCCCCGTATATTTCGAACGGCTAGACCTGCCTTTGGCAAAAACTAATCAGCACGTCTGCTTATCAATACGATTCGAATGTTTTTTGAATTATTCATATCGGTTGATCGGTGATCCCGAAATCGTCGACGAAAATTTGTATCCGCACACACACAGGTATTTTTTTCCATTTTTTCTAAGGTATGCCAAAATATTCAGAAACCTTTGAAACGTAAAGAAATATAAAAATTTTCATTTTTGATTTTTTTGCGATTACTATAACTTGCCCTGCGGGAAGTTAATAAAATAAATAAATAGTGATTCCAACTCCGTTGAAGAATATTTCTAACAAAATGCCAGATCAAGGTTATTTACAGTGTTATACTGTAATAAATGCATTCATAAAATGTATGTTTTGCATTGGTTGTATAATGCAACTATTATTTTGTAAAATCCCTTCAAAACTCAAGTTTTACACTTACCAGTATAAATAATAATCCAGTACAGTTTGTACTGTATTGCCCAACCTTTGCAAATACGTCTTTGGACTTCCAAAAGTTAAAAATGTGTTAGAAGTATATGAGGGATTGAACGGGTTTCCAGTCATCTTGTCAGTCCAGAACGATGTTCCAAAAGTGCTCACAGATGCAGAATGGGCATTGAAGTAATTTGCCAAACTATATAGGCATTCGTTCATGAAAGTTTCCGAAATAAACATATCGAACTTTGCTCTAGATTTAATTAATTTCTGCATCTCTGGATGGTAGAATGTTCCTAATGCAGATTCTTGGCCTAACTTCGTCATCATTTTCAACATTTGAACTACGGACTTGTTGTTTAAACCAAATGTGTTATTTCTAAATTCTTGAGCTAAAAATTAAAAAAAATGCATTTATGTATGTATACAATATGCGCAATTCAGTCAAACTTCGTATGGAAGGATCTTGGAAAAAATTTTGAAAATTTTAAAAAAATGTTTTAGGTATAACTTAGCGATAATGAATGGGTTTTATTCATTTATTTGTTTGCTAAATTACATCTAAAAAACCTTTTTTAAAATTTTTGAAAAATTTTCCATGCTATTTCCATACAAAACTTTGATAGAATTGCGCTCTATCGAAACGTTAATTTTAAGAGCTAAAACTTTCAGAGAATTGTTTTTTTTATCTATTTGGAACCGTTTGAGCCCTTGGGGGCAAGGAAATTCGAAAATAACCATTTTAAGGACCACCCTAATATATATATATATATATATATATATATATATATATGTATATATAATATTTTATGCGCATTTTTGCAAAAATATGCATACCTGGTTTGGATTCGAAAACTTCAGTAAGTATATGAACCGTATATTTGGGATGGCTCTCCTCCCATTTGTAGGGGCTAAACATGGTGACCTAAAATTTGTTAAAAAAATAGATATTACAATTGTGATTTTTTACATAGATAAAACAATTACATAATAAATATCTATTACAGAAAAGTTTCAAGTATGATATATTAATAATTTGGGTTCAGTAAACATTTAATTCATTTTTTATCCATTTAAATGAACTGTAAACAATCATTTTAATATAGTTAGATAGAATTAAAAAATATTTCAATCTCGTATAATGATATTGGTATAATATAGCATTACATAACATTTGAAATAAAATATTTTTACCGAAATATTTATATCCATATTTTGTATTGTAATACTCTATAGATTTAGAGTGAATAAAATTAGATGCTTGAAACATTTTATTACCTTTATAAGTCATAATAAATTGAATTTTATTTTATTAAATTTATAACGCATAGGATAAGCCATTAAGTAATTTTTGTATTAATTAGTAATTTTAATATAATTTTTATTATACCTCATGTCCGCTTTTAGCTAATCCTATACCGAGCGCATGTCCTATATTCGAGTGTGATCTAGATACAACATTAAAAACTATGAGAATCTTAGCTCCATAAACTTGAGCACTAATTGTAAGCAAAAGTAATAAAGGAAATATTTTAAACATCTTAGAAAACTTTTTGTTCGATTGTTCTAAGATAAATAAATCACAATAAGAAGTTCAGTTTTATACTAACTGCTAATATTTTGTAATACAAGTCATTGAATTTTTTAATAATCAAATATAGTTTTTGATATTACCTTCATATCATTATCATATCTATATATTATCATTAATCGGTATACAAATCAGTTAAAAACGTTATAAGACAATGACACTGATATTACCTATGATTTCTTACGTATAATAGTCGAGATAAATTTGCTAACAAAAAGATTCATTTTGATAAAAATACACACACACACACACATATATATATATATATATATATATATATATATATATATATACTTTCAGCAGTGCCATTATTGAAAATTATGATTTTTTTATTTTTAGGCGGGGTGTTTTTGGCATCTTAGTTTTATATTTAAATCAGAGTTACGAAAAGGCAAACTACTTAAGTGCTCAAAATCCCAAACGTGCATTTGTTCAGTAACTAGTGGCAAATGGCATTGTGCCCTTAAGGCAAATTGCTGGAACTCTCCATGGTGTAATTTAAAATTTTAAAAACTTTTATGAAAATGTAGATTGTTTTTCAAAATGATACGCAGCGCGCGTAGCTGTTTTAAACAGTTAAACATTAAAGATCTTAGTACGAATCCCATATAAACTTATTATTAAATTTTCTAAAAAAAAAGTTCAATAATTTTATGTCCGTATGTCTAATGATCATGTTTGCCCGCCAAATGTCATTTTTAAACTTTGTTATTGGATCTACGAAACCCAAAAATCGAATGTTTTTTGAATCATTTATATCGGTTGATTCGTGCATTCGAAATCGTAGACAAACATTTGTATTGAAACTCATCCATACATACACACACATATACATATACACACATCCATTCATTTTTTCAAAGGTATATCAAAATGTTAAGAAGACCCTATAATGTAAAGATATGCATTTTTCTCGATAGTTTTGCAATTACTATAACTTACCTTAACGGAAGTTAAATATAAGGAATGTATTTGCTATTTGTTATATAGAACAATTCTTGTAAACACAGACCGAAATTTTGTACAATATTTTCCATATACTTTACATAAAACATAACCGCGTCATAATCATCAGTAATTTCCGATAGTAATAATATTATATTTTCAAATAGGCGAAAAATGGTACCTTTAACATCTGCACAGTAGTTGTGTCCGCCATTTTGGGCTTAGTCAGTCCCCATCTCATGTAAGATTGGTATAGATGGGCATGCACAAATTATCCGCCCACTGGCTCTTAGTTCAACTGCTTTAAAATTTCTGAAATAGATGCTGCCGTTGTGTGAAAACAAAAGGCAAAACAAATATATTTTTTACAATTTTTGTGTCAATTGATTCAACGCGACGTCGAGAAAACATAAACTTTGCAAATCAGGTTTACTAGTAACAAAGATTTTTCTTCAGAAAGTTACAAAATAAAAATTTCAGGAAAATCTTAAAAGGTTATATTTTTCTACACCTCGCACACAATTCTTCCGCCCTAAAACACGTGAGTTTAAACATAGCATACAAACTAATTTCTATTGAAACAAAATTTGATGTAATTACTTTAATTATTCATATAAATATAACTTAGAAAATAATTGATTACAATATACACTTTATCTAACTTCGATCTAATTTCTTTTCTTCGCGTTGTTTACTTTTGAACTTCTGCAACATTTCTTAACAATTTTTTTAAACACCCAATATAAAATAAATATCGGCAACAGAATAATAGCTAGCAATCCTGCTATGACATCGAGTAATATTTTTTGGTAAACTGACATATGTACAGCAGGTGACCTCAAAAATGGAGCACCCTTATGCCGTAAGACATACTCGATGCTGGACACCGCCTTGTCCATAGGACTCTGATCTTGGTCGCGGAAAATGTTTGATAAAAATTGCGCTCTTTCTCTGTACCTGGAAAAATATAACACGTATAAACATCATGTTTATTTTTACTATTATTATTATAATTATTATTATTATTATAATTTGAATAGCAACCAAAACTATTCTCAGTATTCTTGGACTGTTTTCATGAATTTTCTTCATTGGCAACCCAGCCATTGGTTATGAATGACGATACAATTTTTACATTTATGTTTTATCCAGTTTTTACAGAAAATGAACTGTATATAACTGATGAGCGTTAATGAAATAAATACATTTAAAAAAAGTGATTCAAAAACAAGGTGAGTAAATTCTATTATTATAATATCATGAAATTTTACTTTGGATTTTCAAGTGCATTAGATATAGCTTCATCTAGGATTTCTTCGCTAATTGTATCTAGATCAACTTTAATGCCATAGCCCGATTTCACAGCTCTTGCCATATTCATAGGTTGATCTCCGAACACAGGAATTCCAACAAGTGGAATGCCGAAATACAACGCCTCGATGGAACTTAGCAAACCACCATGTGTAATGAATAGCTTCACATTTGGATGAGCTGAAAATTGATGTAGTATATTAACCAAACACAAAATGTTTAGATTTAGTCGTAGAAAAAATACTGGCAGAATACAGAGACTCATAGGCGATTTAACATTTTAGGTTTACTTTATAAATAAATATTCTGATATCAAAAACAAGTTTCTACAAGGAACCATACACAGAACCATACATCGACTTTCAAAATACCGCTTCATCAGTAGACAATTATTAACTTCCCGAAGGAGAAGTTTATGTTTTCATCAAAAAATCCGATTCGCTAATTTTATGTTTTCTCGACGTTTCAAGCCATTCTGAATCGAATGAGACCAACTTTGGAAGAAGTATGTGTGTGTGTGTGTATGCGACAAGATTTTTTGCCGTAAATCGGCCTTTTCTCAAAAACGGCTGGACCAATTTCAAAAAAATTCTCGATGAGGACTAGCGTCTGTCAATTTTGCGTGACGATCAGCAAAACCGTTTCTTTGTAAATCTCAAAATAGTAAAAAAAAATAGTCCACGTTTTAGCCCACAATTATGAATCGATTTTGAAAGTTCAAAAACTGTACGAAAGATATCGGTTGGGACTCGTGTTGATTAGTTTTTGGTAAAGATTAGCTGGGCCGTTTTCTTGTAATAAAGTGTTACAAAAAAAATTTTCGACAATTTTTATGACTTTTTTTGACAATAGATACCATAGTCTTATAGATCATACTAAAATATTACAGCCTTAAAACAAGAAGTAGTTTGATTTTGAAATTTCATCAAAATTTGAGAAAATGAGTAGTTTTTTTGACGTATGTTAAAATTAATATTAGACTATTTACATGGTATAACGATAGATTACTTGGTCTTAATTAACATACTAAACCATTAAAGTACACGGAAACTGGTTCAATTATAAAAATTATTGATTTTTGAAAATTTGCTCGTAGAAAATACTCCGAGTTCACGTGTTCATTCGTTCTCAATTATGTTTAATAAATCCACTCGGAATACTTTTAATCGCTCATAAATTAATTTATTTTTTATTGATTAAGTCGATTATTCACACATATCGGAAAGTTCATGTAGCTTGCCTCAAGGCAAAATACCAATACCAACTAGTTTAATTTATTATCAACTTCGTTATAGTAATTTTTTATTCAAATACCCGACGGTTTTCGTGTATCCTATAATAGGGTTTATATTCTTACCACAAATATGACTTTGAACCACAATCTTGAAATAGTGAAATTATACCCTTACCTAATATTGATTGTTGGGGCATCCACTTTCTGATTATAACATTCTTCGGTTGATTAGGTAATTTATCATCTTCCCACTTCCATAACACTGTATGATTCAATTTTGCAAAAGTTCTCAAGATTCCATTTCTGGTCTCAACTGGTAGATTTGAACTTTTTAAATTACTTCCCATGCTGAAATAGATTACGCCTTGTGGAGAATCATCGAGTATTTTTTGAAGATCCTAGAGATACGGTAGAAGAATAACAGATTAAGAAGTGTAATGATAATATAATAGATTTGATTTAAATATAATTACATCTGGAAGTTTTCCTGGATTTACGTGTAAGCCACCTACACTGACAACGTTAGGTACGTAGGCCCTTGCATTGGATACTGCCAAATTCGAATTTAGCAATAATAATGATATGTTGGTGACAATTGATGGAAGATCAGGTTCATTCATACGATCTCTTCCGTTTAGTGAACGAAAATGTTCTTCATATAATGCAGATTGATGACTCATATGACGACTGAAAGAAATAATAATAGTGACATTTTGCATTAATGCACCTTGTATTAACTTTTAAATATCTCATAATAATCTAAATCAAAAAAATGGGCAAGCTGCTTTAAATTTTTAAATACGATAACAGCTCGACCAACCTTCAAACCAATTTCATTTAAATAAAATTTGCATTTTTTTAGTTTTTTGAAAAAATGTGTGTAATTAATAGTTTTACACTAATAATTACAAAGAAAGAATTTGCCAAATTTTCAAATAAAAACAAGACACTATAATGTCAAACGTAACATTTTTTTGCGAATATTGATATAAAAATCTACATATATATTTTAGAGAGCATTTTAAACCAGCATGTATTACAAAATTATCATTTATCATTTATCAATTTAATGAGCATAATTACCAATAAAGAATCTCCTCCAAAACCATGAATGCAGTACTTATCAATCTTTCAGAAAAACTCAATGGATTTGTGAATGGCAAAATGAGATTAATATCATAAGCAGGATTGAAAGGATTCCCGACCATTTTATTAGTCCATCCTGATGATCCTGCTGTGCTCATTACCATCGGGATTGCATTAAAATGTTGTGCCATCAATAATAAAGCCTCATTCATAAACCATTCAGTCAAAAATACATCGAACTTTTGTCCAGATTTTAATAATTTTTGCACTTCAGTATTATGAAATGTTTTATTTGTACCATCAGCACCAATGTATGCCATTCGGAAAACCATTTTCCACATGTTACGATTTTTATTGTCGACTAAACTATTTTGCATTTCCTTTGCTAAATATAAAATGTTATAAATATTAAATTTGATAGAATTAATATAATTAATACATAAATTGATATATTACCAAGTAAGGAATCAAAAGCATCCTCCAATATGATTTCTTTAAAATTTGCGTGATTGTTATTCTTTTTAAACGGACTTATCATGGTAACCTGAAAAATCAAAATATATAAGTTAGATGTGAATATTTAATGATTTTACTGAATTTTGATGAGGTTCTCATTTTAGTGAGAAACTATTAAGAAAAATAGCTTAAATGTTGTAAAAATGGAACTAGAAACTAAACATTCTAATCAAATAAAATATTTTCATTACACAATTATTTAAATGAGTAGCATTTATAAACAGAAGTACTAATATATTACACAATTTAATTTATATGAAATAAGTGTAAATATGTAGCAAAGATTTTTGAAATAAGTAAAAATACTAAATGATGTATTTTGTTTTTGCTATTTTGCACAAAACAAAAAAAAGCAAAGTGTAAGTCTAAAACTTTTGCACAATTTGTTTTACGATATATATTTATATAAATATTAAGTATGAATAATATATGCACGTATATACAAATATAGATATTCATCAAATTACAAATATTATAAATTTAATAATATTTTTTTATTTATACGTTTCTACACTTGGTCATTCAGTAGTTCTAAAATAATTACAAAAAATTGTATAATACACTAAAATTAATATTGAAATATTATTTTATAAAAAATATTGAGAAAGAACAAAACACAAAAATTTAAACATGTTTTATACAATAAAATAAATAAATATATAAAAAATGTTTTAATATCTTTATTTATGTATTATACAATTTTTTGTAATTATTTTAGAACTGCACAATGATGATAACGTGTAAATAATTTTTTTTTTAATAAAACTTAACCCTTTCCACTCGAATGCCGGTGCTCCAGCGGCAAAATTCATATAAATCTCGGAATTCGCGAGTGGAAAGGGTTAATATATTTAATTCGACAATTTGCTAGCTATATACCAAATTCGTTTCAATGTGAATAATAATCAAATAAATAATAAAAAATACATTTTTTAATGTTTTAATTAAATATATATTAAATGGTTATACTACATATAATACGTATAGCGTTATATCTTCATACTATAAAAAGGTGCCTAAAACTAGAAATTTTTAATATTGTTATAGACCAATGTACCTACTTGTTTATAAAGTCAACTGAAAAGTTATTTCAAATTGTACGTACCATTTTTAATTATTTTTGAATTTTTAAAACATGATTATGTATATATTTATTCTTAAATGTTTTTACTTTTTTCTACTAAATGAAGGGTAAGACTATTCCCGAAACGTATAGATATTAAAATAAAAAGAAATTCTTTTTATTAATATTATGTTTTTTTTATATTTTGTCTTTTTATTAATATTACGCCCGATTTGTAGACTCTGCTAATACATTATCTAGTTCAAGAATATATTTGTTTGCAAAGCATTTGCGTTCAAGCAAATCATTGTACCGGCATTTTTATTCAGATTAAAAATTAATAATAAATTATTTAATTATTATATATATATATATATATATATATATATATATATATATATATATATATATTAAAATTATATATTACCTCATGTCCTTTTTCTGCCAATCCCAAACCAAGTGCTTCTCCTAGGATATAATGTGATCTTGAGATAGCATTAAACATCATTAATATTTTGGCGCCTTCAACATTCAGGGCGCCAAATAATAAAGCACAAAACAGTAAACGAAGCATTTTTTACACAAAGTTTCTAATAAAACAAATAAATGGTATAAATATTACATCAAACCAAATTTGAATTGATTAACTATGTTACATTGCACCCAAAGTTTATATTTTTCTGAATTAAATCATTTGTTGTTACGGCGATAAGATAAACGGTGATAAAAACCAGATTAATATATGCCAGATTTTCATAGTTTTAACAAAATAATTTGTCAAGGACTATGAGCTATTTACCAGTCAATTTATAAATATGTAAGCGCATTATCATTAACAAAATTTACTAGATTATTTATTTATCCAGTCATTTCAATGACTTGGTACAATGTCAAACGAGATATGAACATAGCATGATAGATATGAGTAATTAATCGATATGCGGCAATATAAAAAATACAACGTCATCATGATTAAAACAATTAATGCATTCCATCTGAATGTTCACTAGAGTGAGATCTCATTTACGGAAAATAATGGTGAAGATGCATTTTAAAATTATTATGAACATGAAGATTATGAAGATAATTTTTATTCACTTTCTGTATGATATGGCACTACTCAATGAATAATGAAACTGAATTACTTAAAAAACATGTCATGATTGATAATAATTAGATGATAACTGAATGAATTGAAATATAATATTCGGGGCACTGAGATATATATATATATATATATATATATATATACACAAATTGTACTTACTTAGTACTATAAACAAGTTAAAAATTTGTCTTTGAAGTTCTTGTTAAATAAAGACACAAAACTCATTTCAGTATGTTGTTGCCTAAAGTACGTTCAAGATTTATTGATTAGAAATAGAACTCTTTTATTTGTGACATAAGAGATCTTCTTTAGGCGCAACTGGGTGTAAATCCGTACAAATGCAACGAAAATGCGTGACGCCTGAACTGTACGTCATTCGCACTCGATGAAATCATTTCAATACGGGTCGATTGTGATTAGTCGTCGTGTATGTGATTAGAGATCTGTCGTTGTATACGCACCGGTATCAACGTTGTATGCGCACCAATATCAACAAGGTAATCAAAAATTTAATAAAAAATGCCTGAATCAGAAGAATATTTTACCTTGTTCCTTAGATTATATATTATTTCTATATTATTCGTAATTTCTATAAATATTTGAAGTTATTAAAATGAAGAATATTTTTTAGGCAAAACAGATATTACAGCTGTTCAAAGAATGAGATTATATCGCCAGTAAAAAAGTAAAAAAATACAAGCAGTCAATGAATGTATGTTAATTTTAATTACATGAAGTTCTTCAAACACAATTACATGATGAATGAAGTTGCAAAAACAATATTTGTTTAGGCGTTGTTTAACATAATCCAGTGTGTGAACAAATATTATAGAATTTATTTATCAGAAATTACTTCATTTTTCTAATGAAGGTTCATTTCTAAATGCTAATTACAATGACAAACCGATCATGTCATATTTGAAGTAAGACTTTAATTACATTATTGTTTTTAAATATCATACATAATTTTAATGCTATTATAAATATATAATTTATGATTTATCAATATATAAATGTGTATAATGGTTGACACTAATAAATATGTGCATCACGAGTGTTACCATATTACTAATAAACATTATTCAAAATTGTTGTATGTTGTATTTATTTTTACTTAAATGCCATCTTGTGGAGTAGCAATAAATTTTACTTCAATCGCGTGTGAACATTACGCGCACTCTTTTTACATTTTCTCACTGTTTAATAGTCTTCATAAGGTATTTTGAAATATTCAAGCCAAACACCTGACATCACTTCATTATTATATCTCTGATTTAGAAGTCTTCAACAAAACGTATGTATTGCGAAGATCTGAATTTTTGTAATACAAGTCGTTCGGAATCCAATAATGCGAAATACAATTCGTCCGGAAAGCGACTAGTCCGGAAAGCGACTAGTCCGGAAAGCTATTAGTCCGGAAAGCTATTAATCCGGAAAGCTATTAGTCCGGAAAGCGATTGGTCCGGAAACCAATAATGCAAAATACCATTCGTCCGGAAAGCGACTAGTTCGGAAAGCTATTAGTCCGGAAAGCTATTAGTCCGGAAAGCGATTAGTCCGGAAAGCGATTAGTCCGAAAAGCGATTAGTCCGGAAAGCAATAAGTCCGGAAAGCGATTAGTCCGGAAAGCGATTAGTCCGAAAAGCGATTAGTCCGTAAAGCTATTAGTCCAAAAAGCGATTCGTCCGGAAGCGACTAGTCCGGGAAGCGATTAGTCCGGCAAGCGATTAGTCCGGGAAGCGATTAGTCCGGGAAGCGATTAGTCCGGGAAGCGATTAGTCCGGAAAGCGATTAGTCCGGAAAGCGATTAGTCCGGAAAGCGATTAGTCCGGAAAGCGATTAGTCCAGAAAGCGATTAGTAAGGAAAGCGATTAGTCCGATTAGTCCGTAAAGCGATTAGTCCGGGAAGCGATTAGTCCGGAAGCGATTAGTCCGCGATTCGTCCGGAAAGCGATTAGTCCGGGAAGCGATAGTCCGCAGCGATTAGTCCGGAAGCGAGTCCGAATTAGTCCGGAAGCGATTAGTCCGGAAAGCGATTAGTCCGGGAAGCGATTAGTCCGGAAAGCAATTAGTCCGGAAAGCGATTAGTCCAGAAAGCGATTAGTAAGGAAAGCGATTAGTCCGTAAAGCGATTAGTCCGTAAAGCGATTAGTCCGGAAATCTATTAGTCCGGGAAGCTATTATCCCGAAAAGCTATTAGTCCGGGAAGCTATTATTCCGGAAAGCTATTATTCCGGAAAGCTATTAGTCCGGAGAGCGATTAGTCCGGAAAGCTATTAGTCCGGAAAGCGATTAGTCCGGAAAGCAAGTTGCATAAAACGAATTGTGCGCAAAGCGTCACGTCCTGAAAAGTAGTCACTCATATAAAGTGTCCTCCTGGAAATGATTCGTTTTGAAAAGGAGTCGCCCAAAATAGTATTGCCCTGAAAACGAGTCGTCCGGAAAGCGAGTTGTTCTGAAAACGAGTCATTCGGAAAACGAGTAGGCCGGAAAACGGGTCGTCCGAAAAACAAGTCGATTACATATCAAACAATATGTTTTTCGAGTTTTACAGAATAGTAACCCAGCAAAAAACGATTTTTCTAATCGAGCAATCAAATATTATGCTTGTTATTAAACATATCAATTATTAAATATCAAATCACGTAATATAGAGCAGGATTTTATATTATGCTCATTATGCTTGTGCTCATTGTTATAAGCAAAATATAAATAATCATAAAGACACATTCCTTATAGATTGATATTTATTTTACAAAACTTATAATTATAAAACATATTTAAATATTTGTAACAAATAGTATCAGTTATGTTTCTTATTTATATTTATCTTTGGACGTGTGAATAAGCCAACAATTTTTTTTAAAAACCAGCCTATAATTATAAAAAATAAAATAGTTATTGCTAATAATCCGGCAACGACATCTAATAATGCTTGTTGATACACCGGCATATCAACAGCGGGGCTCCTTAAAAATGGAGCTCCTTTATGGCGAAGGACATATTCTATACTAGACACAGCCTTTTCTATCGGAGTTTGAGTATCATTGCGGAATATATTGGATAGATATCGAGCTCTTTGTAAATACCTAAAATTATATAGGTATGTAAAAAAATGCTTCAGACAACACATGCTTTGTTACGTGTCATTTTCAATTTTTAAAAAACGTACCTTGGGTTATTAAGGGCCTCCTGTAATGTTTCTGTCAATGTGTCTTCACTGATATTGTTTAGATCTAGTTTGATACCATAGCCTGATTCAACAGCTCTTGCCATATTCATATGTTGGTCCCCAAATACTGGAATACCCACCAATGGAACTCCGAAGTATAAAGCTTCGATAGAACTTAATAGACCACCATGGGTGATGAATAATTTAACATTTGGATGGGCTAGAAGTAAGTGAAATTAATTAAAACTAATGATATATAGTAAATCATTTATTTATTGATGGATATTATTCGAACTCTGATAATCTAATCACGCTAAAATGTTCAGAAATCTCTAAAAGGTAAAGATATGTACAAAATTTCGATTTTTGGATCATTACTATAACTTACACTACGGTAAGTTAAAAATACAGAAATATAAACGACTGCAACCAAGTCATTCCAAGACAAAGTGGATTCAAAATCAAGTCATTCCCATATTCGAACCGAGTCATTTCAAAACTGAATAAATTTGAAATCGAGTAGTCCTTCGAGTCATTTCCATAGTGCAACCAAATCACTCCCCAGTAAACACCGAGCGGCGGTAGCAATATCAAATCCACATAGATTCCACATGCATGTCACATCGCTGAAGGCAAGCTTGTGGATTTCAGGTTGCTATCGCCGCTCAAATCACACAGTGTTTACTGGATCCGAACAAAGTCGATTTTAAATCGATCGTCCCGAAATTGAATCATTTATTAAACGAGTATAAAAAAAATATCAAATGAAAAATTTTCTTTTAAATTCTGAATCACCTAATACCTAGTATAGATTGTTGCGGCATCCAAGATTGTATGATGACATTATCTGGCTTATTAGATAAATCTTTACTTTCCCATTTCCATAATACAGTTTGGTTAAGTTTAGCAAAAGTTTTAAGAATTGCATCTTGTTTATCTAAAAATACTTTAGAACTTTTTAAATTACTTCCCATACTGAAATACACCACTCCTTCTTTCGTATTGTCTAAAATTGCTTGTAAATCCTGAAAATTATAAAAAAATGTTTTGTTAAAGCGATTCGGTGTATACAGTATATAGAATATTTACCATTTTGTACCTCAGGTAATTTTGCATCTGTTTTGATATGTAAACCTCCGACATTTATCATGTTTGGAACGCTCGCCCGAGAATTGTGTACGACTACATTAGAATTTATCAAAACCAAGGAAACATTGGTCACTAAAGACGATATATGTGGCCTATTTTCAGGACGTTTGCCAAGAAGCTCATGGTAAATTTTCTCATACAATTTGTCATGCTCATGAATGTGAATCCTAAAAATATTTTGCATATATAGTAGTTCAATAGAATTGACCATAAACAAATCAGCTAGTTTTATACCATTCTTATAATAGTATTTTGCTAAAAATTAAAAATGATTATAAATATTATTGGTCGTCAGTAAAGAGAAATTTCAAAATGTGAGCAAATAATGCAGATATTCTTGATCACTTTTATTCGCAAATTCTATGGAAATAAGCTTTAAATTCATTTGTTTATTAGAAAATTACAAAGTAAACCATTGCATTGCTTAAAAACATTCTTACTGATCTTAAACTAACAAGATTTATAAGCAAAGCTATTCAACCGATCATTATACTCTACCTATAATACAGTTCGTCCAAGATTTTAAATGCGGTATTCAAAAATCTCTCTTTGTAACTTAATGGATTCGTAAACGGGAGTATAAAGTTCAAATCATAAGCAGGATTAAAAGGATTTCCGACCATTTTGTTCGTCAAAGTAGAAGAACCAGCAGGACTAGTAGCAATAGGTATTGCCTCCACGTGGTGCGCAATTCCAAGTAAGCATTCATTCAAGAATGCTTCCATAATGAAAATATCGAATTTTTTCCCACTTTTTAACAGTTGCTGAACCTTTGGATGATAAAATGTTCTATTGGCGCCATCAACGCCAATCTGAGTCATTTTGGGTAACCTTTCCCATATAGGTTGTTTGGAAGCGGTTAAGATATTGGTGTTCAAAATTTTTGCTGAAATTTAAATTAGTGGTATTAAAAGTATTATATTCATTTTGATTTTGTAACTTGACTTATTTATTTATTAATTTACCTAATAGAGATTCAGAAGCATCGTCCAGAAATATTTCGGAATAATTCTCATGTGGTTTGTTCAATTTGAAAGGGCTTATCATTGTTACCTTAAAATAGACACCTAATAAACAAAACAATGTATAAAGTAAATTGATAAAACTTGTAATTAGTGTTTATTTGAATTAGCATTATGTTTAAAGTAAAAATCTGAATCCTGTTTTGAAAAGAAATATTAATTTAGTAAAAATAATTAACAAATTTATAATAAATTAAACAATCAACAAGTGAAATATTATTTGTCTACTGAATATTATAAAAATTGAGTGGACTATGAATAATATGTGGTTTGTAAATTTTGTGGGTTCAATTTTAAATAATCTCAGTTATTGAGTTAAGGATCAAATTATGAGAAATACTATATAAAATCACTAATACACATTTTAAATATTAATGAATTTATTTCTTTGGTCAAAACTATTTTTTAGAATGTTACAGATTTCATAATTCAGTTAAAAAGCATGGCAAAATATCTATAATATGTAATTTTTGGTTTTACCCATCGTATTATGATACAAATTGAATTTCCTTTATACCATTCATATCGATTGATGCAATCTCCCCAAAACGTGAGAGGAAAAATGTATACAAATACACATATCCATATTTTTACAAAAATGTGAATTATAAAAAGATATTGAAACGTTCTTCCAATCACGTATATAATAAAAATAGACAATCTTTGTTAATATAAAATTTAAAAAACTTATTGAATTACCTGATGTCCCTTTTTTGCCAAAGCAAGTCCTAATGATTCAGCAAGAATATAATGTGATCTTGACATTGCATTATAGACCATAAGAATTTTAGCTCCTTCGACAAAAATTAATAGAACCGCTATTATGCATAATTTAAAAGTTATTTTCAACATTTTTTTTAAATTAATTCAGTACAAGTTTTCAAATGATAAAATTCGGCTGCATAGTTTTACTAAAATTGTACAAAAATTGTCGAACTAATTTCATTCGTAAATATAAATATAAGTTAATCTCATTAGATACGACTGTAAATTGATAAGAAAACACATGTAAAAAATAATGTCAGAGTTTGATAACATTTTTGAAACCACAAGTGAAATGTCGATTGATTCAATTGTTAACTAGTGGTGTATGGCATCGTGCCTCAAGGCAAACTGCTGGAATGTTGAATCTAATATAACTCGAGCAATATCATCCGAGGCACCAATTTATTTTTCCACTAGATATTTTATTAGATCCATAACCAGAAACTTTTGAAACTTTGAAGCATCAAATAATCATTACATTGCCGTTTAGCATTATCCAACACGATGCACATAATAGAATATTCTCTAAGCTCAATATCCACCATTGAGCACTCTGAACTTTTTAACTCATCAATTATCAATTTTTTCAATTTTAAACTTTACGTTGGGGAAGTTATTAAAATCGTTAAAAATATAATACAATTAGGTTTTAGCTGTGGCCTTATTCAAGGTTCTAAGTTCAATTTTCACCTCAAAGAGCTTGATATCAAGCAGTAGTTATATCCATTTTCACTTGAAAATATAGATCTAAAATAGGATTTCAAGTGAAATTTGTTTTTCTGGACTTTGCTGCAACAAATTAAAATGTATTATTACACTTAAAACTCAACATTAGAAAAAAATCAACATTATTAAAAATCTTCTATATTCTTTTTAAAAACAAGTTAATCACGACAGTTGCTCGTTATTAAATATAGTACACCTAGTTAGATCTGATATCTGTTCAATACAAAAATATATGTACATGTACATATCAAAATGTGAAACGATTTTGATAGTTCAAAAACATTTGATTCGTATTCTTACAGCACTTTATAAAAGATAAACCCAGAGTCAGATGCTCCAGAGTTAAGGAGAAAAGAGCGCAAAAACGTTTATGTGAGAGTTGAATATGAGATTTTGTATATATATATATATATATATATATATATATATATATATATATATATATATAGAATTTTGTGATATGAGTGGAACGAATATTAAATGTTAAATATGAACAATACAACACTTCGATTTTTAATACACACTTTATTTTATAATTAAGGACGTTTCGAGGCCATGGTATACCTCATCTTCAGCGTAATTTCAAAACTGTTTTGTGTCAAACTTCCAAAAACATATCATAAAGTGTCGTTGAATTATTATTTTTACAGTTTATTTCATTTAATAAATTTAACAAATTTGCTTGAGAAATGATTTGTTGTAAATATATTTTGGTTCAGCTTTTCTTCCAATTTTTATATATTCTTATAAAAACTCACCAATTCAATAAATCTAATTGCAGTCATATTTTTTATAAACTCATCAATTCAATAAAAACAATTTTCGAGGCTATCAGAAAATCATTATTTGAATTTGGCATTTATATTACGCATAGATCAACAGTAAACAAAATATTATACGTAAACAAGATTATAAATTCCATAATGTAATTCTGTCATTTCATGTACATTAGTTTCCATTTTCATTGAAAGTTCAATTATATTAAAAAGCTTTAAATAAATTTTCTTTCTTGAATATTAAGCCATGTATTTGAAGCGGTTATTTATATCTATGATTAAAATGTGTTTGGTAATTTCTATAAAACATATACCGATTTTCTAACTTGAATATTACATTACAATCGTGACATTATATCGTTGCTTTTATATTTTAGTTTCAGTTTCGATTCTGTAAATTAAATCATATGCACGTAATGCGGTCGTAAATAAATTATGAGGAGCTTTTGACGTTCGTTAAAAATGTATTTGCATTAATACAATGCGCACGGAGAAACACAAAATCTGCAACAATTTCTCAAAGTGCTGTAGTTCATAATTAAACAACATTTGCAATTCAAACACAGTTTCATAATTATTTAATGCGATTAGGTGTAATTTACATAAAGTTTGTATTATAAAATATGTAAATAAAAACTCGGAAAAATTGTTTTTTTTGTTAAAACAAACAAAATCATTGCCTTAGTCATGAAAAATTCTTCATTCATATTTTGGTTTAAGGTTATTTTTATACTGAGACCAGATCTTCAAAATCACTGAAATCTTTTGCGACCATTCAAATACTATATACATTCCGATTGGAATGAGGTTATTGGTAACTTATCAGATTAAAAATATTATAAATATTTGTATTCACATGTGTAAATATTTTAATATTTCTAATATTCGCAATCAGTCAATTTCATCGAAAACATTTTGCCTTTTTGAACTAAGTTACAAAAATTCTTTAAAATATTAACTGAACGTGCGCACATTAAAGCGCAGATTTTCATATTGGTTTATGGTAAAATTGTTATTATCATAATATACGCAAGTTAGTTTTTGGGTTAGGGTAAAATATAATATAATGAATTATGTCCAACACATACCCAGCTGTATAAAAATATATAAATATATAATTTATAAAATCAAATCTGAAGCAATAGTTTCTTTATACCGCTTAACATTTTTTTTAATTATTATTTTCCCAGTTCATTTCATAATAAATTGAAAAAATCTGCTTGGAAAATGTTTTGCTGTAACAAGATTTTAGTTTAACTTTTGTTTAATTTTTTCTGCTGTCCTATTTTTATATAAACTTTTCAATTCAATAAAAACAATTTTTTTAGCAGAGTTCCTACAAAAAGAGATAGCAAATTTCTATAGAACGCACTACGAAGTAGCCTGACTTGTACTTTAAATACGTGTTTTTTATAGCACGTTAAAATGATTTTCAAAATTGGGATGAATGATAAGAAGGTAAAAATTGAGGATTGCATCCATGTATTATTCAATCTAGCGTTTTTTAAAAAATAAGAAAATCGATCCAATACATTAAAAAATAAGCATTAGAGTTGGACAACCCTCAATAAAAATGTATTTTTTGTGTAACATTGATCTTTTTCATAATGTCAATAAATCTCTATCGAAATTCATTGAAAAGCGCTTACTGACAAAAATCGATAACAAAAATGATTTAATTATCATAATTAATTTTAATAGTTTGTACTAAGAGTGTGAAAGTTTAAAGTTATGTGTGCAAAAACGCATAAATAAAAAAAATATAAATTTATCAGAAATATAAAAGAGCTTTTGGGGCGGCCAACTCATATCACTTGGGTGCACTCAACATATGCGAAAGCCTGTCTGGGGATAATCTAACAGATTCCCAAATTTCCACAGCCATCGGATGCGATCGGATTTATAAAAATGATTTAATTACCATAATAATTTTTAAGATTTAGAGTTTGTGCTAAGAGTGTGAAAATTTAGGGTTATATGTGAATTTTATATACGCATCATAAAAAACTAAAAAAATATAAATTGACCAAAAAAAGAGGTCTTTGGCGCAGCCAACTCAGTTTCCCAAATTTTCACAGCGATCGGATGTGTGTTTTATAAAAATGATTCAATTACCATAATAATTCATAAGATAGAGTTTGTTGGAAGAGGGTCATGTGTGTTTTTTATATACGCATCAGGAAAAATTAAAAAAAACTAAAATTGGCCCAAAAAAATGGTCTGTGGGGCGGCCAACCCTTACCTCTAGGTTACACATAATATATAAAAAAGGTCGTCCGTGCGATGTATCGGATTAACTAATTTAAGCAAAATTAATTAAATCTGAAACAACATAAATTACAACTCAATAACTCTAAAAAATATTATGAAATTGATTATACATCAATTATTTATTCACGTTTCCTTTTACTATGTGATCCTACACAGTATTTTCTAAAAACACACAAAGCTTTTTTTGTAATAAAATACGCCACATACAACGCAATTGTGACTATTAGCAAAAGTGCTATCATCACATCAATGAGTAGAACTTTATACCATGGCAATTCCAGAGCAGGTGACCTCAAAAATCGAGCTCCTTTATGCCGAATTACGTACTCGACACTGCTCACCGCCTTCTCTAAGGACGACTGAGGATCATCGCGAAATATTCTCGATAAAGCTTTAGCCCGCAATTGATATCTGTAACAAAAAATCATAATTTTTGTATTTGTCTTCCGTAGATCAAGTTATTGATAATCAAACAGAAAAAACATGTTTGCTTATCATATTGGCAAACTTTATAAAAGTTTCTTTTACTCATTTATTACTCTACAAAAATTAGAATAATAATTGTATTCTGTGAATTGCTGTTGAATTGTAGCAGTTAATTTTGATGATAAAATATATGAGTAAGTTCTTTTAAGGCGATATCTCAAATTAAAAGCGAAGATTTATAAATTAATCGAATTTTCCAAACGTTTTGACATAAAATTTCATGTCATCATTAGTGGATATTAGACTTGGAATCTTACAAACATATGTGATAAAATCAATTAATTAAACTAGTTAAAAATTAATAATATAAATGCTGTAACTTTTTGTACCAAAAATTAACTTTTTTAAAAAAAGTAAAATTGAGAACTGAATTAGAATTTTTGGCACTTTTTGCTGCTTATCTTTGAAACAGCTAAACCTTTCTTGTCCAAAAACTGATCAGCACATCTCTGTATGAAGAGAAATCGAATGTTTTTTGAATCATTCTAATCTGTTGAACCGTATTCCCGAAATTGTTGACATAAATTTGTATCCAAACACACACACCTACATCAATTTTTTCTCAGGATGCCAAAATGTTCAGAAACCTTTGAATCGTTAAGATATATGAAAAATATATTTTTGATTTTTTTGCGATTACTATAACTTACCCTACGGAAAGTTAATAATAATAGAATTGAATTAATTTAAGTTTGTGTGTATGTGTGCGAATACAAATTTTCGTCGACGATTTCAATTACACCGATCAACCGATTCGAATAATTTAAAAATCGTTCGATTCGTAATGATAAGGAGACGCGCTCTGATTAGTTTTTGGCAAAGGCAAGTCTAGCCGTTCCAAAGATACTGATTAAATTTTTGGGAAGGCAGGTCCAGAGGTTATAGACACTCAATAAAAATAAGTTAAAAAAATGTCATTTGACGGTCAAAAATGTTTATTGGGCATATGTACATCAAATTATCAGATATTTTATAGAGAGTTTAATAATGTGTTCGCATTTTATGTAATTTTTTTTGAGTTCTGTACCAAGATTTTTAATTACTGTACGGGAAGTTCCAGCAATTTGCTTTAAGGCACGATGCCATGAAACCCACTAGTTTTATAAATAAATTTGTAGATTACTAACAAAAATTGCAAGAGCGTTTATTATATCAACTTTAAATACTTTGATTGATAGTGAATTTGTTTCATATATTCGTGTGTATATTACTGTAATGCTTTAAACAAACTAAATGAGTAACAAATTAATATTACAAAACAGTGTACTAGTTATGAATATAAACAAACTATGCCTGTTTTATTTTCAATTTTTCATCCGCCAAGAACATGGTTCATATTGAACAATAAGAAATTTGTACAATTAACAAAAATAGCATAATATTTTTATTAAAAAAATGTTTGTATATTTTATTACTAAAAATACAGTTTTTTTAACTTCCCGTAGGGTAAGTTATTGTAATGGGCCGAAAATCGGAATTGAAAATTTTTACATTTCTCGACGTTTTGAAGGTTTCTGAACGTTTTGGCATACCTCAGAAAAAATGGATGTGGTGTGTGTGGTGTGTGTTGGTGTGGTGTGTGTGTGTGGTATGTATGTATGGATACAAATTTCCAGTCACGTTTCAGGACGCACGGATCAACCGATTTGAATGGTTCAAAAAACATTCGATTCCTATTGATAGGGAAAAGAGCTGATTAGTTTTTGGCAAAGGCAGGTCCAGCCGTTTCGGAGATACGAAGCAAAGAGTGCAGAAATTTATTATATCAACTTTAAATACTTTGATTGATAGTGAATTTGTTTCATATATTCGTGTGTATATTACTGTAATGCTTTAAACAAACTAAATGAGTACCAAATTATATTTACAAAACAGTGTACTAGTTATGAATATAAACAAACTATGCCTGTTTTATTTTCATTTTTCATCCGCCAAGAACATGGTTCATATGAACAATAAGAAATTTGTACAATTAACAAAAATAGCATAATATTTTTATTAAAAAAATGTTTGTATATTTTATTACTAAAAATACAGTTTTTTTTCATTTTTTAATTGTGTTTTTGAATTGACAGACTGAAGATAAAGCATATAATAAATATTTTAAAGTATAAATGTATACAAAAATACTCACCTTGGCTCATATAATATTTTATTCAAAGCCTCAGTCAATGTGTTTTCTGTAATATCGTCTAATTTTAATCCGATTCCAAAGCCCAAATTTTCGGTTCTAGCCACGTTCATCATTTGATCACCGATAACAGGGATTCCTAAAACTGGAACTCCGAAATAAATAGATTCCAATGTACTCAGAAGACCACCATGAGTTATAAAAGCCTTGATATTTGGATGAGCTGTAAATAATTTAATAAGTATCCTAAATATAGTTGTTGGAATAGTTAAGTTTTTGGATATAGTAAATAGCCCAAAGCATATTTTTCAACAACAATATTTGAAAGTAGAGGGAAAAAGATGTATAACCAGACACCATCTTGATTTTTACGACGTAGCTAACAAGAAAAAATAGTCAATGTTAAAAAACCCATAATGAAAGTATTTTCTTTCGTTATTATTTGTTTTAACTGTGAGCACTATTGTTTAGTTTCTAGATCTGACTATTATATTTAAGTAAACGTTATTTAATTGTTATTTAAGATGTGGTGTTATTTTATATTAGATTCAACAGTTTTTTTATATAATCTCTATAAAAGCTTACATTTGGGTGGGATAAAAAAGACCAACTAAACCTTCGCTCTGACAAAATACCAAATCAAGGTTATTTACAGTGTTATCTCTGTAAAAAATGCACCCATAACATTTATATCTTGCATTCGTTGTATAATGTAGCTATTAATTTAGAAAATTCCTTTAAAATTAAAATAAAACATTCAACCTGTTTGCCCTTTGGGTAAAAAGGACGAGGTTACAAATACTTCAAAACAGTAAAAAAGCACATTTCTAGAATGAAGAATTAGCTAAGATTTATACTGAAGATAGTCAGATAGTTGTTTGTTTGATATGTGTTATTTGTTATGATATAATTGGTTTTGTTTTCACAATAAAATTGTTCAGTCAAACTGGATTTTTCTGCTCCGACCTACTTTATACATGCATGGTTACTTTTTTGTGACAAATCGATTCATTTATACACAATAATAGTACACTTAAAGTAAATTTTAAACTACAAATCTTATTATGCAAATGTTTACATTGATTACTACAATGTAAACACTCTGAAAATAAACGTTATATTTAATTTTCAGTACATAGCTTGTTCGTCTTGTTGGTCATTTTTCTAAATATTCTAACGATTCGGATAATTTTAATTAAAATTTTTACCCAATATTGCCTGTTGTGGCATCCACTTCTCGATGACCACATTGTCTGGTTTGTTTTGCAAGTTCGAATCTTCGAATTTCCATAGAATTTTCAATTTTAATTTTGAAAATGTTTTCAAGATTGCGTTTTTAGTTGTTTGTGATAGTTCAGAACTCTTCACGTTGCTACCTAAACTGAAATAAATTGCGCCGTCCACAGCTGCATCCAAAACTTCTTGCAAATGCTGATAATCACAAAACAACGGTGATTAGATACGAGTTTTGTACCAGTAAAAATGAAAACTAGTGGTACATGACATAGTAAACTATAGTGAATTTTTATTTAAATTTATAATTTATTGATAGCTAAATTAGTCAACAAACAAAAAACATTTCGTTTAATCAGTCAGAAGTTTACTATGCACCACATAAACTTTTGTTTAACCGAAGAATTTTATTTAAACCTAGACTTAATTTAAAAAGCTTATAAAAAATTATGGTCTGATTTTGAAAATTCAGATACGTTTCGAAAATATCTGAAGATATCAGTTGGGAATAGTACTTTTAAAAGATCAGCCGAGTCATTTCTACGTAGGTATTAATTGTCAATAACAATTGTCAATTTTATAAAAAGTTTGCATAGAGATATCTAAATAATGTTCTTGCTTTTAACAAATAGCAAAAAATGTTATAAGCTTACTAAAACATTTTTGATTATAAAAAAAAATCAATAAAGTTTATATTAATTGGATTTTTGCTCAATATCAATTGAATCGATAAATTCTATCAATCTCGTTGATTATTTTTTAATAAGAAAACTGTATTTTTATTCTTGAAATAAACTATCAGTTGAAAAATTAATTGTTACTGATTTCAAAATTGTTAAATCTAAAACCTATGGATAAATCGAATTATCTACACATATCGAAAAGTTCATTCAGGGGTTACATCACTGTAGATTTTTCGAAAAACCAAAAAAAAAATTTTTAGGCTTAAAATATACTTTAAACCTTTTAGAATATGAGGAAAAATATTTCATATCTAAAACTTTCTTTTTTTACTTGTAATTATGAGCTCTTTTCCAAGCGCGTCAGACTGCTCCAAACCGAACACCACTCAAGTACATTAACAAAAAGCATTATGAAGCAAAATTACAACATGTGTCATCTTGAATATACGAATATATGTTATTACTTAATATTTATATTGTGTAAATAAACTCTAGAAGCATTTTTAACCAATAGATGATCAGTGCATAATCAGCACATATAAGGGTTGACTATATTGAAGCTGATATTGCTGAGGATAATTTCAACGATGGTCTAAGTAATATTTTATAAATGATAATTGTTTTAGAGATTAATATTGGCATCTAAACATGTAATTTTTGTCTTAAAGTCGATTATAAACGGCTTAAGCATGCCAAACGGTCTTTGACGGATGCGCCAAAAATAGGACGCTCTAAAATAAAATCTTCTATATGTTAATTTGATCATGTACATTGGCGAAATTCAATGATATTGAATAAAGTGCTCGCCAAACAAACAGAAATCTATATTGTTTAAATCAGCTATAATGGGCATTTTAAAGTGTTATTTTAAATATATTATTGAAAATTTGAATAAAAAAAAATTAAAATTGTTGTAGTTATTTTACGTGCCGCGGAGCGCCTCCAATTTGATGCGGCTCGCCGAAATAGCTGTGGTACCGTCGTTTTTTAATTTGTTTTTTACAATTATATTTTATTTTGTTACTTTAAAGTACAATAAATAAATCTCTTCAATATCATCAATTTATTACTTTTCCTCCCACCCAAAAAAATGGCAAAAACATACTTTTTTTGGCTGCTACAATGGTGTAACCCCTTAAGACAAAATGTCTCTTACAATTGAAATTTATGATTATAATTTAGAAATTCTTGTTATACTTCAATTTTAGTGAAAATTATTATTGTGCATTTTTAAAAATATCATTTTTTTCTAAAAAAATATTAAATTTAATATAAATAAGTAATAATTGATCTTACATTTGGTAATGGGCTCTCTTTAATGTGAAGTCCTCCTACATTTACTATATTCGGCATCATAGCCTTCGGCTCACTAATTACATGATGATCGTTCACCAGCAGTAAAGAAAAATTGAATAACAAATCTTGTAAATGTGGAAACTCATCTTTTGGTCCTTTATACAATGGTTTGAAATAGCTCTCATATGCAGCATGTTGATCAGAAAGTCTCAACCTAAAAAATATTCATAATATATTGATTGACGAATTATTTACATATATATTGTTTCGGGATCGTTCGCATACCACAACGACGGCATAAACGCCATTGAAAATACTGTGTTTATCAACCTTTCATGAAATTTCATTGGCAGAGTGAAGGGAAGAAGCTGATTCATGTTATAGGCTGGATTATTTGGATTGCCCATTAAAAAATCTGTCCAAATAGAAGATCCGACGGTACACAAGTGAATTGGAATAGCTTCGAAATGATTTGCAAGTCCATAGAGGCATTCGTTTAAAAATATTTCTGTTATCACAGCATCGAACTTTTCACCAGAATGCACTAATTTTTGTACTTGCGGATCATGCAATGTTAGATTTGCAGCAAATAATCCATCTATCTGAATTTGCTTAATCAATTGGATAAATGATATATTTCGGTTTTGATACATGTTGCCAAAAATTGTTTCTAAAAAATATATATATATATATATATATATATATATATATATATATATATATATTATGTGTGTATACAATGTTATATTAGTTAATTTAATTTGAATATATTAATAATTAACTCACGTTTTGATGTTGCCATCACTTCATGCAACACTATCTCATAATAATTTGGATGTTTGCTTTTCATTTCAAATGGACTTATCATCGTGACCTGTGATTAATTCTCTTTGTCAAAAAATTTGGAAAAAAATATAATTTACGTTTCATTTCAAATAAAACTAGTATATATAAATTAGAATCTAAATAGAACATAATATATGAATGCAACTTATATACATAATAGAAGTTAGTCTAGTTAATTATGATTTTTCACAGAAAGTTGAAGCAATACTATATTTTACTTTCTACTAGATTGAAATATATCTGAAGGTACCTACTACCTAAATTATAACTTTTTGCAAGAATTGAGAAAAATAATTGCATTATAGAAGTACACCTACTTAAAACAATTATTGATAAAGTTTTTATTATATAACAACTCTCGAGGATATCCCTGCTAATAAATAGATCTTTATTTAAAAGATATAGGACATGTATTGATGCAGATGGAACACAATTTGAATATTTATTATAATAATAAGATGGTATTATTGCATGCGACTTTTTATACCAATAATCCTAGAATAAACTAAGTCTAAATTTTTAAATGTTTCATTAATTTTACTTGCTTGTGATGATTTTGAAAGTGGGGTCAGTATCAGCTTGGTTTACTCATGGTAAAAATAACCACAATCCTGGTTGTCAATTTCCAAAAAATTGTCAACCAAGGTTATAAACATATGTTCTATGACTATCCTTTCCATCTCTATTCCATTTTTTTTTTTTTTCAAAAAAAAATTATCAAATATTTCACCATTTTACAATCCCAAAGAAATGTGCCAACTTTGGATGAAACTTGGCAACACACTTTAGTACAATTTTTTAAAAGACAGCCTTTCAAAGTCGACGGATTTAAAAAAAAATATTTCATGGTTCAACAAGAAGTCTTAATTTTTAAAAAGCTGGGGCTATTTTGTCTTTTTGTTTTACTGTGGTCTTAAAAATGTTATTCACGGTAACGGTTCGAAAATTTAAATTATCAAAATTAATAAAAGTTAACCACAATAACCGGAAGATAGTCATAATTTTACCGAAGCCCAAAGTTGCACTTAAAAGCGCATAATTTCCAAACAAGGTGTAATTTGTTTTTCTAAATTATTTTAGGAGAGTTAAGATCCATACTATACTATATACCCCGTTTTGGCTTGACGTCAATGTCTGGGACACATTATAATATAAAAAATGAATCGCAAAATGTGTTGATAAGCGCATAACTCAACAACGCCTGGAACAATTTGGCCAATTATTTTTTTTAAATGTTTGTTGAAGTCCTAGGATAGTTCTTACGGCGAGAAAAAATCGAATAATTGCCGGAAAAACCTTAAAAACAGCCCTTTTCTTTTTCACATACAAACATTAGTATTTGCATATTTTTGCCATTAGATACGGAATATTTACTCAAGTCAATGGAGCGTTTTGGGTCTGAATTTTTTTACTGTGCTCCAATTGGTATAAAATTTTGAAATTAGATTTATCTTACTCCCAAGTTCAAAACTGAAAATAATTTAGACTCCTTTGCCATATCCCGGTGGGATGACATCCCTCTCAGTGGTGTAATTTTTTTTTTCAAAATAACGTCGGATATCGATAAAAGAACTAATTATAAAAAAAAATGTTTGTAACAAAAAAGCAAATACTCATCATTTTATTTAAAGCAAATGTACATTTAAGATCTATATGAGTGAATGTATATACATTCGGTATACTCTGCAATGCAAAAAAACATAATATTTTTTAACTAATTGGTAAATATCAGTATAGGTTATTAAAAAATATTGGAACTTTTGAATTGTAAACATAAGTACAGGATAACGTCTGTCGGGTCATCTAGTCTATATATGGGTATATATATATATATATATATATATATATATATGGGAAAAAATAATTTTTCAAAATGTTTTTCATTTTGTAGTTATTCATTATTTTTCCAAAAAAATGTCCTTTTCTAATAACTACAAAATTAAAAACATTTTGAAAAAAATAATTTTGAAAAGTGTGTGTGTGTGTGTGTTTGCGTGTGTAGAATACCTGATGTCCTTTATCGGCTAAACCAATTCCTAAAGCTTGTCCTAGTATATAATGAGACTTAGAAACTGAATTGAAAACCATTAGAATTTTAGCTCCATTGACTTGCAACATTGCAAGTAATAGGCAACCGAGGAGCAATATAATTTTCATTTTCACGAAAATAAGTTTTCTGATCTGAAAACCTAAAAATATAAATATAAAAATATAAGTTAAAGCAATAATTAAATACTGATTGATTTTTACTCACCAAATATTGTTTTATTCGTTATAAAACATCACTCTGTGTGTGCAATGTAAACACGTCGCGGACTATTAAAAAATCGACCAGTCACGCTGAATATCTCATCATATTATCTAATTCAATATTTCTATCAATGTCATTCACGAGTAGAATAAAAGAGGACGTGTAACCATATCATATTTAGTTAGATACGAGACAGCATGTTGAAGATTTGATATGAAATTTTTTTTGACGCCAATAGTGAAACAATAACTAGCTGTAAGTGGAATTCTGTCTTAAGGCAATTAAGGCATCGTGCCTTAAGGCAAATTGCTGGAACTTCCCGTACCAAAAATTATTATTTTTTAAAAAACGATTAACAGTTTTGAAAAAAATTTACTTCGAAAAATAAGATTTTTGACAAACAATTAGACAAGAAATTACTTTTTTTTGAAAAAAAATTTTTTTTTAATTTTTTTTTTAATTTTTTTTTTTTTTTTTTGAAAAAAATGTTTTCTTTATTTTGACATATTTTCAAAGATCTAAACTTTCTTCAAAGCAATCGTACTGCTTTAACTGCATAAAGACGAAATATCAAACCGCGTAAGCGCCGCGTCGACGTCTAACGCGTAAACATTTGTACGGAACCCATAGAAATGTAAAAAAAAAGATACTTATTGTTAAAATCTTTATAAAATATCTGATAATTTGATGTGCATATATGTCTAATGATCATTTTTGACCGCCAAATGGCATTTTTTTTTACTTTTTTCATTAGATTTCCGAAACCTCTAGACCTGCCTTTATGAAAATTTGATCGGTTCTTCACCTTGTCAATACAAGTGAAATGTTTTTTGAATTATTAAAATCGGACGCTCCGTTCTCTTAAAAACTGAGTTACCGTTTTCGGCACTTTTTGCCCCGCATCTTCGGAACGGCTAGACCTGACTTCGCCAAAAACTAATCAGCACGTCTCCTTATCAATGCGAATCAAATGTTTTTTGAATTATTCAAATCGGTTGATCGGTGTTCACGAAATCGTCGACGAAAATTTGTATCCGCACATACATACACACACGCACACACACACACACACACACACACACACACACACACAATAATAAATCACACAATAATTTGAACACAACGCTATGTTCAGGTATATCAGATATAGCCCGAAACCCGCTGACCAGCTCATGCGACGGTATGACTAGTAAAGTAGAACCAGTGGCTGAACTGTCACATATAATTCCGGAAAATGTCATTTTACAACGGAATGAGTCATTGAAGTGCCTTGAGAATCTGATAAATGAACTGCATATGATTGTCAAATCAAAGTCAAACATACATAAAAAGGTGAAAATAAAAACAGGCAACATAGCGGCCGTAATTAAAAGATTTATTGATTTAGACAACCAATTGTTAGAGGAAAAAGGCCGAACCACGGATGATACGGAAGTTATGATAAATGAAGTGCAATGTTGTGAGACAGCCCCTATAGAAAAAAGTGTACGGCAGGACACAAGCAAAGCCACAAGAAACCGAAACTCACAACATATAAGCAATAATCAGGTTAATGAGAAAAATGGTTTGCCAAGACGTCAGACGATCATAGAAATATGTAATGAAGAAAAAATCGAGGTAAATGACTGGCATAAAGTTCAGCCGAGAAAACAGAAAAAAAAGGAAGCAAGGGTACATCTGTCAGAACAGGACTCTAACCATAAAATGATAAAAAATCATAGAATTTTTCCAAAACCAAATGCCTTATTAATCCGGCCGACCGAAAAAGTTAATTATTCCGAAATATTACGTCGCATCAAACATGATGTCCCTGATGACAAGGTAAATACGACAGTAGAGAAAATAAACAAAACCAGAAATGGAGACTTGTTGATAACTATTTCTAAGAAAAGTGAGGACAAAGGCCAAGGACTGCAACAGATTATCGCAGGTGTGTTAAAGGATGAGGCCGAAGTTATTTATAAGGGGCACCAAGAAACTATAGAAATAAGGGATATTGATGATGAAACCTCAAAAATTGATATCCAGATAGCACTACAAAAAGCAACCGGGGGAGCCTGCAACACACCAGCAGAAGAAATTAGGCTTCGTAAGGCATATAGAGGTACCCAGATTGCTACTGTAGCTCTTCCAGCGGCAGTTGTACACGATCTGCTCAAAGCAAGTAGCAAAATACGAATTGGATGGGTCAACTGTCAAATTAAAATCATCAAGAAACCAATTCGATGTTTTAAATGCTGGCTATTCGGACATTATGGATCACAGTGCAAGAGCGAAGTGAATCGGACCAATCTATGCTTTAGATGTGGACAAGAAGGTCACAAAATAGCCAACTGTATAAATGCAGCAAAATGTGCACTATGCGCTGAAAATGGAAACTCTGAAAATGTAGCACATCATGCCGGCACTCACAGATGTCCTCTATATAGGGAGGCCATAGAGAAAATAATGAACGCAAAAGCATGAAGATAATACAGCTAAACATGAATCATTGTGAGGCTGCACACGACTTGCTTATGCAGACGGTAAGAGATATGAAAATTGATGTTGCCCTCTTATCAGAACCTTACAAACATCTAACTGATTGGCCATGGGAAACGGACAGTACCACCAAAGCCGTTATTTGGTCCTGTGGCAAGTTTTGTTTCCAAAATGTTGTTAACAATAGCAACGCTGGATTTGTCGCAGCATCATTAGATGGCATACATTTATACAGCTGTTACGCTCCACCTAGTCTTTCTTTGCCAGATTTTGTCGATTTTTTAGATCGTCTTGTGGAGGATGCAAAACGACACCACCCCGTAGCGATAGCCGGTGACTTTAACGCATGGGCGGTAGACTGGGGAAGTAGGAAGACTAATGCAAGAGGTAAAGCACTTTTGGAGGCCTTCAATGCACTTGACGTGGTTTTACTTAATAGTGGTGATAAACCAACCTTTGAAAAGGGCAGTGCAAGCTCAATAATAGACCTTACTTTTGTTAGCAATAGCCTCGTCAGAGGAATTTGCAATTGGGAGGTATTAGATATCTACACTGCTAGTGACCACAATGCAATCATCTGGGAAATATCAACAGATAGAAACATTAGAAGACATGCGAAAATATCTAAAGCCATTGGGTGGAAAATAAAATCTTTTGATGAAAGCGCCATGAGAGTTGCCTTAAATTGCAAACCTATAATTTCAGAACACGCAGATGAGCATACTAGAGAGCTGATGGAGAGAATAACCGAAGCCTGTGATATCAGTATGACTCGTAAACATGGCATAAATCAAAGACAATCTGTGCACTGGTGGACTGAAGAAATCAGCTCTCTTCGTAAAGAGTGCCTAAAGAAAAGAAGGATCTCTCAGCGTGGATATAGTCTCAGTAATTCTGCACAACTGGTAGTGGAATATAAACAAGCACGTAGACAACTAAATAAAGCTATCAAAGATAGTAAAGTTAGGTGCTGGAAAGAACTTTTGGATGAAGTCGAGGAAAATCCATGGGGAAGACCTTATAAGACTGTAATGTCTCGCCTCAAAAGCCAGCCAATACCTTCACCAACTTGCCCACGACTATTGAATAAAATAGTAACTACTTTGTTTCCACGACAACCTAATTTGAACTACCAGGTAACACATGTAGAACAGAATAATATTCCACTTATAACACTGCAAGAACTGATGGAAGCTTGTCATCGCGTTGGTAATAGCAAGGCACCGGGATTAGATGGAATTCCTAATATTGCCTTGAAAACATCAATTATGACATCTCCGACAATGTTTCTTAATGCATATAATACATGCCTGAAAGAAGGGGTTTTTCCACGAAAATGGAAACAGCAAAGACTAGTGCTTATTCCCAAAGGAAAAAAACCACCAGATGAACCATCATCCTATCGTCCAATATGCATGCTGGATACAGCGGGTAAAATTTTTGAAAGAATAATTCACCAAAGAATAGATGCAGTAGTTGATCCAATCCTAGCAGACAATCAGTATGGTTTTCGCAAAGGGCGATCAACTATCGATGCTATAAACTTGGTAGTTAATACCGCCAAGGAGGCAATTGCTGGAACCAGATGGAAGGGGGGTTCCAAAAAGTACTGCCTTGTAGCTACATTGGATATAAAAAATGCTTTTAATTCTGCAAACTGGGATTGCATTATGAATGCACTCCGTGACAAGAACGTGCCAGCATACCTATGCAATATAGTCGCAAGCTACTTTACAGACAGAATTCTAATGTACCATTCACGCGATGGTACAGAAGAATATAATATAACAGGAGGTGTGCCGCAGGGCTCTGTTCTAGGCCCTTTGCTGTGGAATATTATGTATGATGGCCTTTTGAGACTAGAGTTTCCAGAATGTGTGAAACTAGTAGCATATGCAGACGATGTTGCCATAGTGGTTGTCTCCAAACAAATTGATGACATCGTAAGCCTATTCGATATTACATTCAGAAAAATTAATCGGTGGATGGGAACAATGAATCTCCAATTAGCACAACAAAAAAGTGAAGCTGTTCTTATCACTAGTAGGAAAAGAATTGAGACCATCAAGCTAAAGATAGGAAATCTTGAGATCACGTCAAAACCTCACATCTGTTACCTTGGCGTAATGCTTGATGCTCGTTTGAATTTCAATCAACAGGTGGAACACGTTAGTGCTAAGGCGTCAATAGTTAGGACGAAACTTGCTCGACTGATGCCTAATATTGGAGGTCCTAAACAAACCAGAAGGATATTACTATCGTCAGTTATTACTTCAGTGCTGACATATGGTATCTCCATATGGGGTGATGCTCTTAAATCTCAAAAATCGAGGAGAATGGCAGGGCCCTTATACCGTCTCAGTGCTATAAGAATTGCTTGCGCATTTCGCACAATATCGGCGGAAGCAGTGTGCGTCATTTCAGGAACTGTGCCTCTCTTAGTCTTAGCAGAGGAAAGACGGACAATTTACCATAGAAGACATCAACAACTGTGTCCTGAAAAGTTAAGATTAGAAGAACGGCAGAACAGCATTGACCGATGGCAGCGACTGTGGGATGTCGCTGTAAAGGGCAGATGGACGCATCGTCTCATTCCTAACATCAAAGTCTGGCT